AGACCTTATCCTACCATTCCAGTCCCACCTTCCAACACGCCCCCTTGCTAGGCAAACAGAACCAATCCTACTACCCCACTTCCCCCTTAACATCCAGGCCACTTGCTGTCTCTGTGGAGAGAGCCCTCTAAGCCTCCTTTTCCATTTCTACAGGGATCAAGTCCTGCGCATTCATCAGAGTCCTGGTCGGCAGCCACAAGCTCCTGAGTCTCCCCTGGTCCTTCTTCTTCCCTGTGGTGCTCCTCCGTGTCACCCGCTCCCTTGCTGAGGCAGCATAACAGAGCAGCAGCTCTGGGGCCAGAATGCTGGCTTCCAACTCTAGCTCCTTACTTCTAGTTGTGTGACCTTCTCTTTACCTTAAGGTCCCTGTCTGAAAAATGGAGAATTTAACAGTACCTTACTCAAATACTACAGTGTGGACTGAAGGACTACGGGATATATAAACTGCCTACTTTAATCTCTGACACATAGTAGTACAATACTGAACTTTCGAAAAAGCAAAAATTTTAGCTATTATTATTCCATCCTCCATTCCTTTACTTCATTTATCTGTCCGATCTCATGCTACCACTTTCTATCTTGCCTGACTTAGGTACCCGTCTTAGCTCCCTTACTAGACTGAACACCGTGACTTAGCTTGATATATATAGAGGGGCAATACGGAGCCACCGAATGAATGAATTCTAAATAGTCACACTTATGTCTGTCCATAAGAAAACCCATATCTAATGTTTGAAGAAAGAAGGAAGATATTAAATTGGCTAGAGCAACAGTTCCCAAAGTGTGGTCCCTGAGCAGAAGCATGGCTTGGGAACCTGTTAGAAATGGGCCCAACTTACACTCACAGAATCAGAAACTCTGAGAATGGGGTCAGCAGTGTGTTCACAGGCCCTCCAGGTGATTCTGACGATGCTGACTCATGGGATGTGTACCATAAGAAGCAACATGGCAGCAAGGAATGAGAACTGGACCACGAGTGGATTCTAGGCTTAACTCTGGCATTGACCTTGCACAAGTCTCTTAACCTCTCAGGGCCTCAACTTCCTTATAAGCAACACAAGGACTGTAACAGTCAGGTAATTAAATGTTGTGAGGATTAAGGTATAGAGTGTGCATACAGTAAGTGCTTAATGATTACAAGTTTCTTTCAGTTCTCTCCCTGTGTATCTCACAGGGTAGTGAAGACTAAATACAACGACTGCAGCAAAAGGGCTTGGAGAACTATGAACTACCATAGCAATCTGAGAGATGACTAATTACTCTCAGTACAAACAGCCAGGCCAGAGTCAACTCCTGGCATCCACAGGGCATCAGGATGCAGTGCCCAACACCACCCAACCTATGAGCACAAATTGCGCCGGAGTATCTGCTTCTCGCACGTTTATTGCAGCAGAACTGTGAAAAGTTTACCAGTCCTCCCTAAACCTCCCCCACCCCCAGTTAGCCAGCTACTCACTGATCTTTTCATCCAAACGAATCCAAACTTTACACTAGGAAAAGGATGACCTGAAAGTGTTCCCTAGCTGACACAAGGGAACCTGTTGACGCTTGCAGAGCACCGCAGAACCGCCCCGGCGACTCCCGGTATGAGACACCCGACTCCTGGCGGCCGTGGGGAGCTAGGTCAAGACAGCAGCATTTTGAGAAGCTTGTTCCTAAAGAGAGAGCCAAGAACTGAACCTCAGCACTTTCTCCTCCTCCACACCTCTCAGCCCCTCCCAGTGCTGCTTGTTCTCCGAATCAAACACTCTCCTCAGGTACTTCCTTCCAGAGTGACAAGCAGGATGGATGCAAGAAACGCGAAGGTAACTATGTCCAAGTCTGGGTTTAGCTACAAGCTTGAGACGGGTCAGCTATGTGTTCAACCAAACAGCAGCATGTTAGAATACCTGTATGAGGCTCAGGCACAGAACAGCTGTAACTACTTTCCCAACGTCTCATGCTATGAGGCTAAGGCTTTGCAGTTGCAGGACACCTTTGGTATGAGTGTTACCTCTGCTGAAGGTACCCGAAGAGCAACTTTTTAATATCTGCATCCCAGAGCCTGGCACCCACCAGGCACTCAAAAGGCCTACTGAATTGGTCCAATGGCATTGTTTAAGTATAAGCCCCAAGCAGATGTTGAGAGGTATTATTTTATGAGTGGGAGGGACGAGGTCCAGAGAGGCTAAGCGCTGAAGTCAGCTAAAGAATGTGGTCTTTGATGTCACCCACCCAGAACAGGGCTTCATCCCAGGCCCAACACCTACTTGCCACTGTTGCCCGCAGCCACTCTGTTCCACTCAGATTGGTGATTGTGTATGTGACCATGCCCCCTCCTTGTCCCACTTACCTGTCCCCAGGCACAGGGAACCCTCTTCTCTGCCTGTGGGATTCCCACCCATCCTCAATGAACAGCCCTTAGACTCAGAAAAGCCAGCCCCATCACCCCAGCTCTTCTGAATTCTTTCAGCTTCTAATGGCCCCGCCAATCCCACTTCTCAAGGAGCTCTCATCATTGCTCCATGCGTCTCTGTGCTCGCCTGCTACCATAAATCCCTTGAGGACTGGGACAGCTATGAAATCCCAGCTCTCCCTCCTACCAGCTGAGCAGTCACTTCACTCCTCTGAGCCTCAGTTTCCTCACCTTTAAGTGGGAAGAACAAAAAAACTTACTTCACAGAGCAGCTGTAAGGAGCAAATAATGGCTGTAGGATTACTCAGTGCAAGCTACAGCTGCTGCTTTTAATCATTAGCTCTGTTGCTTTTATTTCTATATCCCCCTCCCTCCCATCAACCCCCTGGCACACACTTTTAAAAGAACACCAACAATACCAAATGTCATAAAAACCACTTTTACACTCTGCCACACAGTACAGTGTACACACTGGAACATCGTTCTGTCCTCTAGTAATTTATCTGAACCAAACTGTGAAATTACCTAGACCTTCCCTGTTGAGTAACTGGCAATGAGAAGGTTTCAACCTTCTTATGTTCAAGGGTCTTTTATAAGGACTGGTGGATGCTGGGGCCTGGAAGGACCTTTTCCTTCACCGGTCTCAGATGGGCCAGTCATCCCACATACCTCTCTAGATAGAAAGTTCAACCATAACTTCAATATCCTGTTATTAACAGTGGCAGTGACAATTTATTGTGTCATTAGGATGTCCAGGGCACTATGCTGTGTTTGACATCCTTCATCTTACTCAAATCACAATACTCTGTAAGTACAAATCAATCATTCTCTCTCTCCCACTCTCAGCAAACTAAGGTTCAGAAAGGTTATGCAATTGTCTGGGTTCACACAGCGGACCAATGGACAAGGCAAATTCAACTCAAGTCTTCTTGACAGAAGCATCATGCTCCTTCACTCACTATATATTACTAACCTCTTATACTTGTGTATGTCTACCCTCCTTAATTTCTACCCCTCATCAACTACCTTGGCATTTCAAAAGTGTAGAACTTTCTGTTATAAAAGAGATAGATCCTCCCTCTCCCCCACAAGCTTACGGGCTCCCTCCAATAACTGGTTAGAATTTAACACCCAACTGAGAAATGAGTTTGGGGAATATGGCTGCAGTGAAAGAGCACCTGAGGAAAGGAAGTGAGGAGGAAAGGGGGGTGGGGATCTGACTGAGACATGAGTCTGTAAAGGCGGGAAGAAAAACTATTCCAGGGCCCAGTGTCTATCATCCCTTAAAGACCTTACACCACAAAGAAAAGGCTCCCAAATGCCACTTAGCCAACAGGAGAGGCCTCAATAATTTCATAGACCCCACTAAAGACTGAAAAGTGAGTGGAAATTCACAAGTAAAGCTGGAAATAAACAAATTACTACTGCCTAAATCAGCCAAGCCCATAAGGACACCAAAGGTCCCTGTTTATAAAAGACGTTTTACCAGTCCTTCCACCAACCAGGAGGAGCCCAGTTTTAAAAGAAACTAATCAACATTATCTACTGATCACTTGGCATAAGTTTCTGCCTTGGGTGAAGGGGCATATAGCTTTTTCAGTAAGGAAATCCCACATAGTGGCCACTCTGGCATTCCTTACCCAGGATATTAGCCATCTCTGGTGCTCTTTTCAGGGGCCCAGAGTCCCCCTATAGGATTAATAGGTACTGCCAAGTACCCTTTTCTACACTGCTACCAAAAGATTTGCTTTGGCAAATTTAATATAGAAGGGAAGTAACAGTCAATGTGCAGGGACTATTTATTACAAGGACTACTAAAACTTTAGAACTTGAAGGACTTACCACATCTCAGTTCCAAACACCTCATTTCATAGACAGGGAAAACACCAAATCAGAAAGGGCAGTGACTGCACAAGGTCATAGGGAGAGTCACAGGCAAAGCCCCTACTGGGTGGAGCCCAGGCTTCCTGATTCCCAGTCCAGGGCTCTTATCATTAAATAACACGGCCTGCCTTCTTACCCAGAGACAGTGCAGGTGTGCCATCCCCTGCCAAGATTATCACCCTTAGGAACCCCCCTACCCCCATCCCGTCCCCTCTTACAGCCTAGCTGAGCTGCAGCTCTAATTAGCAAGTCTTAGAGCAGGGAGCATCCCCTGGGAGAGTGCCCAGTATGAGGCTGCTGGTATTGAAAAGGAGGGACAAGGATGGAGGGACAAGAGTCTGGGAGAACTGGGTGCTGACAGCATGGCAGCAAGACTGTCGGTCTGGATCAGGACACACGCAGTGGCATCTCCCACTAGGCGAGAGGGTGAGTCGACCAGCAGCCGGCACCACCTCTCTCTAGGTGCCAGGAAGGGTTCGGCCCTGATGGGTAGGGAAGCGTGGAGCATCTCCCAGTCCAAGTTGGGCCTTGGAGCGCCGCCTAGCAGGCTGGCACCGGCGCCGTGAGCAGGCCTGGCCCGGCCGTGGGCAGAGGCCCGAAGAAAAGGATGCCCGGCCCGCCCGTGAGGTGGCACCGGTGGCCAGCAAAGGCCCGCGGTCCCCACCACTCCCGTCAACCGCCGCGTCGCCCACCCAGACTCCCGCCCTTCGAGAGGCCTTACCCAGGCACTGTCCTACTGGGGTGCTGAACGGGTTCCCCAGGAGGAACTCCATCTTGGGCCGACAACACTGCAGCGGTCGGGACCCCCTGTGACCAGCACGGGTCTCTTCTATTCCGCCGACGAGCTCCCGACCTGACTGACATTTGCCTCTGCCCCACCCTCCCGAACGCCGAACGCCCGGCCCCTGGTCCCGCCCCCTGCCGCGTCCCTATTGGCAACGCCTGCGCAGCCCTCCTATGATTGGTCCCTACACCGCCCTAAGCGAAACCCCACCTACTCCGCGGCATCTGATTGGGCAACGCAGCAAGTGAACAGGAATCTCGGTCAGGCGTAGCGGCACCTCCCCTGACCCGCCTCGGAACGGAAGCCTGTGTATTTTGATTCACCTATATAATGGTCGATCTAGCGAATCCTTACTATTATTGCACAAGAAATGAGTCAGTGAGAGGCTAGAGGCGGGGAGAGTAGGATTCCCGCCCACAGAAAGTGCTGATTGGAGAAACATTTGTTTTCTCCATGGCTGGTTGGTAAGAGGGGTATTTCCCCGCCCTAGAAATGTGATCACGTGATCGTCAACTTTCACCCCGGATGTCTACCCCCTGACTTCCCTTTAGCAACGGAGTGGCGGCTCTTGGTTCCCTAGCAACCGGGTGACGCTTCTGCTGAGACCCAGCAGAGTAGCAGGCGCTTGATAAGGTGAGAACCCGATCTCTACCCTAACGCTTTCCTCTGACCTTTTCCTCTGAGGAGTCCGCACAGCCCTCCTCATTTATAAAATGAGCACACAGTCTTCTACCAGACACGTTACAGCCGCGCTGAGACAGTCCAAACACTAGTCTTAGGCGCTCAGGTTTTTGTATGAGAAAGGAGTGCTAAGGAAACATTTCTTCAGGGAGTCTGCCTGAAGAGATTTGTAAGGGGTTCTATCCTCTGGCCCCCTGGCCTGAAGATCCCTTTCATCACAAGGTACCCGATCCACTGATAACTCCAAGAACTGACCCCTCACATCCGACCTCTTAACTGTCATTAAATTGTTTCTCTTCTTTATTTTTATACGTGATCTTGGCGCTGTATAAAGTGTTTTGGCTTGAAATATGGGTACCCAAGTTCCATGTCTGTCTCTTGTCAGTAACTCATTGTATGACTTTAGACTTCCTTTCCCTCTAGCGCCTCAGTTTCTCTATGTGGGAAGTAAGGCATTAGGACTTCCTTTTCTATTGCTTTCCAGAGCAGGCATATAATTAGACAATGAATGTGCAGGTAGTGCGCAGTAAGCACTCCAGAAATGAGTGAGTATCTCATATTAATTCATGGCCAATGGGGCTTTTTTTTTTTTTTAGATCCAATTGATCCCAATTTCTTGTTTCACGGGACAATTCTGGATCTGTTTCTCTGTTGAGGAGGCTACTACATTGACAGTGGTGCAAAACTCTCTGCTACTTTCCCACCTCTGGTCTTCACCAACACTAGTGTCAGGCAAGTCAACAGGGACCCAGGTTGGGTGGTAAATTATTAAAAACAATCCCCTTAGGGAAGGAGTGTTCAGGAGCTGTGAGAAACATTGTGAGTTGTGGCAATGATAGTCCACAGTGCTTTGGATCCAGCTGAGTCATAACTGAGAAAATGGGGTCATGTTCTCCTGCCTCTGCCACATACCAGATGTTTAAACTTGGGCATGTTACTTAACCTTTCTAGCTAGCTTCCATTTTCTCATCTTAAAACTGTGGATGTTTAGTGCTACTTATAAATTAAGTTCCTAGAGCTCTTTCAAATCCACATCTTACCACCACCCTGGTCACCTCTTGCCTCACAACTCATGCCCTCCTCAGTACTACAGTCACCGTGAGCCTCTTAAAATTAAAATCTGATCATGTCACTACCCTTATTAAACCCCAGGAGCTTCTCAGGGATCTTAGAATAGTAATAAGACTCCTTTAGGTCTCTCCAACTTTGACTCACTTCAGCCAAAATGGAGCATGTCTTGTTCTCTCCTACCTCAGAACCTTCACCATGCAGTTCCTTCTTCCTTCTTTGCTGCTCATCCTTTGGATCTCAGGCTGTCTCCTCTGGCCAGGCCAGGTGCCCCTAATGTATGCTGTCATAATTCTCTTTACCTACAAACTTGTCAAGGCTTGTAATTGTTTGTATGATTAACTGATTCATGTCTAAAACAGAGATGAGGAGACCTGTTTTATTCATAGCACATAGTAGATATTCATTACACATGTGTGGATTAAATAGATCATCTTAAATATAAGAGGAGTAATTAACCATCTTTTATAGATGGGAAGTCAAAAGCTTACATAGGTGAAGTTAGTTGCCAAAGGATGTACTGTCAAGATCCAAAGCCTGCCCTCGTGCTTAGCAAACAGTGTGCATAACAGCTATTCCACATCGAGTAGTCATTGTTGGGCTTGGCTGGAAGCAAGCCTGATCTGTCACAGGTGCCAGGTCTTGATGAAGAAGGAGTAATGAGGTCAAAATTTTGAAACCAGAATTAAGAATCATTTCCCATAGTACAGCACCTTTCTTTGAAAAAGGACAAACCCTTTGCAGGTAACACCTGCCAAATACAGCACATTAAAATTTACCCAAAGGCAAGTTGGCATCATATTATGGGAAATCTTAGAAAAGTTGTTTCAAAATTGTGGGGAAATGGAGAGAGGCGGAGGACTGGAAATGTCTTTGGGAACTGAAGTCAATCACCTTAAGGAGATGGAACCAATGCAGACAGATTGGAGAGAATGGGAAGATGAAAGGCACAGATGGAGAAGGGATATGGGGGCAGGGGACAGGGAAGGCTGAGCCTCCTTTGGGGGCAGAAGAATGGACAGAGAGTTAAAGGGATTGGGACATTTGATCATGTGTAGTCCAGAAATAGAACATGAGTATTTGAGGAAGCTCCAGCCAAGTGGATGACAGGTGAGGAGGGAAGGAGGGCAGCCAGGAAGTGGCAGTCTCTAAGACCAGGTGTGGCACAATTGCCAGGCCCACCCCAGTTTGCAGTGGATACCATCAGCCCAACACTAGAAGTCTCTCCAGCAGCCCAAAGCACAGAGGCTGCCCAGCATCAGGGGCCAGGAAAGCAGGGAGGCCAGGGTTCTGGGGAGGCAGAGGTAGAAGGCGAAGCCAGCAGGGAGGTGAGAAGCAGGAGTGGGAAGTAGAAGGGAGCATTGGATTCCAGAGGATTCTGGAAGCACAAGCTAGAGTGTAACTTCCTGCAGGATCCAGTCCTTCTGGATGTTCTCACTAAGAGGATTGGTAATAATGAGAGTGAGATTGGGGCAGCAGGCTTCCCAGGGCTGTGTTTCTATTCAACCAGGCACAGGAGTCCAGGGTCAGCCTGTGATCGACCACCTCCATAGATGCCCCTTTGCCTGCAGTATCCCAGCCAAATCCCTTTGGACCATCAGCAACAGAAACCTACTAGAGCTAGTTCAAGTAAAAGAGTATTTAATGCAAAAACTCAGGAACTCTCACAGGGCCTGGAATTAGGGACCAGAAAACCAGCAAGGAGAAGGCAGCCTCTGTCTGTGTCAGTCTGTCCATCCTTTTGCTTTTTGTCCTCTTTTCTGGATCACCCAGGTTCCCATCTCTGTTCTTTCTATCCATCTGCCTCATCCCCACCTTGCTGTCTGCTTAACCATGTTCCTTGCCAGCACATGGCTCCCAGTTCCCCAGCTCAAGCAGGCAGCTCAGCTGGGCACTTTCGCCCTGTGGCCCAAGCTCACATTTCGTAGGAGTAGAACATGAAAGACCGGCTTGGGATGGTATTCAGCAGTGTCCACACACCTGCTGCTTCTGGTGTGATGGGAAAAGGAAAGTCATGACTTCCTGGAGGAGATAATCTCAGCGAAGGTAAACTGCAGGTTGTATGCCTGGTGCAGCTGTCAAGAATCATGGTCAGTGGTTGGTGCTAAGAAACCCAAACAAGGGTGGGGATAGGAAGCTAGAGGCCTGAGGTGGCCAAGGCTAGAGGGATGCTGAGCTCCAGAGGCTTAAAGAGACCAGTGTGGATACAAGTCCCCTGGGCTAGATAGGATCCCAGCCATGGTTGTGGGACCAAGGGGTACACCCCTGTGGGGGCCAAGCAGGATGGGAGCAGATGGGTGTCAGTGAAGCCCAGGAGCTTCCCAGGAAGCCCAGGAAGCTTTGGTGCAGAAGGACTAACCCCTAGGTACAGTTGGCCACGGGGTGGGATGGGACAGCCTTCACAATGTCTGTGGCTGCCACAACACCTTGAAAGGACCCCAGCTGGTCTCTGTCCTCAAAGGGAGAAGTGGATTATGGGAGATGACCGTGTTTTTCAGGAAAGATGAACCGACTGTACAACTCAATGGAGCCCAGAGTGATGGACGACAACATGCTCAAGCTGGCTGTTGGGGAGCAGGGACCACGGCAGGAGGCTGGGCAGCTGGCCAAGCAAGAGGGCATCCTCTTCAAGGATGTCCTGTCTCTGCAGCTGGACTTCAAGAGTGCGTATCCGGGGCTGCGGTGGGGGCACCAGGCAGCCCTCTGCCTCTGCTTTCTTGACCCCAGAATTCCACGCACAGTCCATGGTCTGGAACCCACCTCAGCATTAGGGCCTGCATGGGCTAGAAGGCACAGGATCACCTAGAGGGTTTAAAGCTTAATCCTGAGGGTCATTAGCAGCTGAATATCTGCAATACTCCTGATTCTGAATAAGAAAAGAAAAAAGATAAAATTCTCCCCCTCTTAATCTACGTGAACCCTAAAGACCACACTGTTTCCACCACATTCCTCAGAGCAGGGTTTCTGGCAGGCAAAACCTCCTAGTTGGATGGTCCCACGCAGCCAGGAAAGAGCTGTGGTGGGGAAGATTCTATGAATTTGGGAAACAGCTTCAAAAGTGGGGCTGGGAACCAGAGGTCACAGAGCCAGAAGGCAGGGAGGCACCTGTCAGTCTCTGGGAAGCAGCAATTAGGGACCAGCCTCAGCGTCCCCATGTGTGAAATGGAGCCATCATGGTCCCTGCCTCAAGCACTGGCTGGGAGGCCAAACTGTGCAGGCAAGAAACAGCAGAGTCAGCTGGGCTGATTCATATTCCTGCTGTGGCCCAGGGCTCTATGCTGGCTTGCTGGGTCACCCAGTCAATAGCAAAGAATTACTCTGGCCCCTCAGCAGTGAGAGGGTTAAAGGGATTGCAGACTGGCGGTCACTGGAGGGGCCTTCAGCCTTCCTTTTGCCCCTACCCTAATGTTCATTCAGCCAGTACTTATCAAATGCCCAGTATATGCCAGGTGCTCCTCAAGGCACTAGGGGTTCAAATGTGAAAAAAAAGACAACACTCAGTCCCTGTGGAGCTGACACATGAGTGAGGGGGACAAACAAAGAAGGAAAATAATAGGATGTACTAAAGGTATTATGTGCTATAGAGGAAAATAAAGCAGAGAGAGGAGAAAAGTGGAGTTGTGGGTGGGGAGCAGGTTTTATCAGGTAGTCAGAGGCCTTGCCAAGGAGGTGATTGAGGGGAAAAACTAGGAGGAATCGAGGGAAGGAGCCAAGTGAAGATGCAGGAAAAGTGTTCAAGGCAGAAGGAACAGCCGTGCAAAGGCCTTGAAGCAAATGGACCTGTGTGGGGACAGTTCAGAGAAGTCATGAGGTCAGCTGGCACCAGCCTCAGGGCCAAAGAGAAGGTGTTTGGCTTTTATAGTAAGTGAGATGGCAGTCCTGGGAGGGTTGTGATAGGAGGGACAGGATGGGACTTAGGTTTTTACAAGACCCACTGGCTGCAGGGGATAGACTGCGGGTGCCAGGGGCTGGAGCAGGAAGTCCAGTGAGCCAGCTACTACTGTGGGCCAGAGAGGGAGTGATGACAGCAGGCTGGAGCCAAGCTGGTGGCAGGTGAGGCAGATGCCGTGTTGATGTTGAAAATGCTCTGTGGGCAGTCCTGTCATGCTGCTAACCCATTTAGAGCTAACTGTCAAATACATCCTGTTTTTTTTGTGTTGTTCTGGCTTTTCCGCATGAACTGCTAATGCCTAGGAAGAAGCCAGCATGCAGGGGTGCAAGGCAGGAGCCACCCAGGGCATTGTAGCTGCAGGGAGTCAGCCACAGCCAAGGGCTGCCCTTCTAAGGCCAGGGCCACAGAGTGCGCCTGGAAAATCCAGACCAGGATGGGAGGGGGCTGAGGTCCTGGGGTGGCATGGGACCTGCCCTGGAAGCACAGCTGGGGATGGTGGCTGGTATCATTCTGGGAAATCAGGCCACACAGAGCTGGGGACCTGACTCTCAGAACCCAAGAGAGGCAGGGCCCTGGGTCCGGGAAACACTGGCCACCTATTCCCACTGAGGAGGACAGCTCAGGAGGACATCCTGCCTCCCCCAGGACCTCACAGCCTCACATGCAAATCCTGCCTCTGCAAATGAACATGGAAACTGCTGCCCCGAAGGTGTGATTATTAAGGGCACTTTTTTTAACCTCTTTCACTTTTACATTATTTCAGTTATTTTAATGAGCATATTCTAATTTTATAATTTGTGGATATCATTACAAAAGCAAATACAGAAAAAGGGACATATAAACAACAGACTTATTTGTGGCTTCCAGTAAAAACTGGGAGACAAGTTTAGACCTCTGGAATTTTACATACACAGTACATACTTATTTACACTTCTTCAGTGTTATTCAGAACTGTTCTGGCTGCCAGTGACAGAAACCAAACTCTGCCTGGCATAAGGAGCAAAGGGAAGGAGGTGTTGTAGAACTGGAAGGTGATCTTCAGGAACCTCAGGGTCAGGTGCTTCAGTGACGTCAGGAACCTGCCCCTCTACTGTATGGACGATCAGGGTTCCCCCACCTTTCTGCCTTCATGTGCATGTAGGTATTTATTCAGGCACATACAAAAATATGTCTTTGCAGGTAGATTCCAGGTACAGAAATTGCAGGGTCAAAAGACAGGCATTAAATATTTCAGTAAACAGTCAAATTGCCCTCCAAAATGTTTGAACCAGTTGATTGACCTTCCCAACAGCAGTGCACAAGGAAGGACATCCACATTGCAGCCTTGATTCTATTTGTCACACTGGATGGAAGAAGGAAGGCCCCTGACTGTGTCCTGTACCCAAAGGGTTCCGGCCTCCCGGGGCAGCCTCCATCCTGGTGGTAGAGGGAGTGTGAGGGAGTCTGGTACCCTGGGAGGTCCAGCCTGCTCTACACCACACCCTGCTCTGCCCCCACAAGGGCCTGTGAGGTCCTACTGTGGTCCTGGGCAGCAGTCCTGCCTGCTGCCCACCAGTAGCGACTGGGAGCTCCTCGGTGCCTGGCCCCGAGTTCTGGGGCGCCCACACACTGCAAGGCAAGGCAGTTGGGTCAAGGTGTGTGGTTAGTGTTGGTCATCTCGATCCAACTTGTACTAGTCCTAGCCTGAGCCCGAGGCTGGAAGCAGCCAAGGCATTCCCTCTGATCGTTTCAGACATCCTCCACATTGACAACCTTTGGCAGTTTGAGCACTTGAGGAAGCTACAGCTGGACAATAACATCATTGAGAGGATTGAGGGCCTGGAGAACCTCACACACCTCGTCTGGCTGGGTAAGGCCCTCTTCCTGAGCATGTGCACCTCATCAAAGGTGGCCCTGCCATGGTTATTGCCTTCTGGGCTTTATTCCACTGCTGCCCCAGTATTAACCCAGTGCCGCAGAAGCTCCACCTGCTGGGAGCAAGACAGCCACTCTTTTTCAAAGCCTGGGCCTGCACTGGGCAAAGCCCCCAAAGATGTGTTTGGACACACCAGGACAATATTCTGCCAAACCTCCCAGTCTGGGAGGGGGTCAAAGGGAGCAAGAGCTAGCAGGCCCAGCTGTCTCTCAGACAGTTGTTATGAGTCCCCATGAGATGCTCCCACGAAGCCCAGTGTTCCCCACCATGGAGGTGAGAGAGCAGAAGGGGAAGGTTCTGAAGAGGTCAGGCTATTCCCCTCAGAGTAAGAAGCCCCTCACCTGCATGCTCAGGCCCACACCACATGCCCAGGCCCACACCACATGCCCAGGCCCTGCTGGTGGCCTACTCAGTCAGTTATCTGTCCCAGGGCCTAGGCTGTCCTGGAGCCATAGTACTGGCTCTTGAGAGATGATTACCACCATCTCAGTTTTGCATTTAGGTAGCTTGAAATTGGCCTTGGTAGGAGTACTTACACCACAGAAATAGGCAAGTGCTACAAATCAGGGCTTCCCGCACCCCACCCCCATTGTTGACCAGCACTGCACTAGGTCCGATGGGGCGTGGCTAGGTTGCGCAGTGGGAAAGGGAGTGGGCCGGCTTGGCATCCAGCAGACCCTAGTTCAGATCTAGCTCTGCCAGTGTGCTAACGGATCTTGCACAAATAATTTCAGTCCTCTAAACCTTGGTTTCTCTATGTGCTGTGTGATCTTGGTCACGTTGCCACCAGGCCCCTTTGAATTTTGGTTTCCTCATCCATAGAACATGGGTGATGATATCTATGCTGTGAGGACAGGCATGGAAAAAAGGACAATACATTATCATTAATCTCAGCTGTCAACAGGTAAACATCCTGATAAACAGGAGGCTGAATTCAGCTGTGGATAAACTGGCTTCCCAAATCATCTTTTATATGTGACAGCTCACAGAAATCAAGATTGTATTTTCAAGCTCACTAAAAACTCCCAGTTTGGTCATCTGGGCCAAGGACAGGGTTACAGGCCCCAGCCCCAAACAATCCTGAAAACATGTGGTGAGGAAAAAGCAGTTTTATTCCCAAAGATGTGCAACTGGGGTTAGAGTGGATCCCAGCATCTCAGCTGGGGTTGGGTGGCAGTTCTGGTTGCCTGAGCCAGCTGTGATGGAGCTAGAAGAACCTGGCCTGCCACACACCCAGGGAGGAGCCGTGGATGAACTGTGGCATGACAGTGATTAGTCGTGAGGCCTGAAATTTCCTGATTGATCAAATGGGGAGAGAAATTCCAAACTGCCACCCAGGGCTGTTATCAGAGGATGTACACACGAGCACTTGATACACTGGTAAATACTAAGCAGACAGGCGGTATTATTACTAAAGTGCTCGTAGGTGTAAGGGAAGGGAACCCACCAAACTACCTCCCCAACCTTGAGATGCACTAAGCCAGCCCTTCCAGTCAGCATTTCCATCTAAGAACAGTGACACAGCATAGATGTGAGTGTTTGCCCACATTCCCAGCCAGGAAGATGAGTACAGAACTGGAGAGGCAGTGAAGGTTAGGCCTTAGGAAGGAATGTACACAAGGCTTCTGGAAGGCCATGGGCTGTCAGTTCCTGGCCCCACAGCTCAGCGCTGCCTCACAAAGCATAAGTAGCCCTGACAGGTTTGTTTCAGGACAGTCCACCCCCAACCCCCCAGTCCCTGGCCCTCACAGCCCTTGTCCCCTTAGACCTATCCTTCAACAACATTGAGACCATCGAGGGGCTGGACACACTGGCGAATCTGGAGGACCTGAGCTTGTCCAGCAACCGGATTGCCAAGATTGACTCTCTGGATGCCCTCGTCAAGCTGCAGGTGCTGTCGCTGGGCAACAACCAGATCTGCAACATGATGAACGTGAGCAGTGGGGGAGCAGGAGTGGGGGGACAGCACTCCTGCCATCTGGTGGCTGGGGGCAGAGCCAGGGAATAGCTGGGTGTGGCAAGGGAGAGGCGGGTTTAGCATTCCAGATCTCCCCCTTTTCCTAGAAAAGTTAGAAATCCAGATTATTCCACAGGGATTTGATGTTTACATACCATGCTTCACCCATGAAAGCCCATCTGTGGGAGCCAGTTCATGTCCCTGCCTTTGTTCTCCTAAGCCCCACACTCACTCAGAATGAGCTCCAACCTGTTACTCAAAGAAGTGTGGTATGCGCATCGCCTCACTTGATTTCCGGTGGGTGGGTTATGGCCTTTATCTCCATCTTACTGGCGAGGACACTGAAGTACAGCAGGCTTGGGCCTCGGGGTGTGCAGCTGGGATTGGACTCAGGTCATCTTACTGGCCTAAGTGGAAAAGGAATCTTGAAAGGGTATTGGACAGCTCCCGGGGTTGACTGGCAGGCTGCAGAAGCAGGTTCCAGCTGTGGTCCTACCCCAGGAGGGCTGGAGCAGACTGCGGACTGTGGCAGCCAAGATCCTGAGGGTGTCAGAAGGGAAGAGGTGATTTTTGATTCAGACTCATTAAAAGATGATTGGAACTTTGCCAACCAGCAGAAGGAAAAGGCTTCCCAGGAGGAGGAAATCGCTTGAGAAAAGGCCTGGAGGGGCACTTGGGATACCTGCCTGGGAATGCACAGCACCCTCAAGGAGCCCAAGGTCATTGGAAGAGGTCGAGGGTGTGTGGTGCAGGCGGCCCAGAGCTTGGCTGGCCAGAGCAGCAGAGGGGAGCCGTGTTGGCTTTTGTGCTGTGTTGTGTCCAGGGCAGGTCTGCATTTGGACAGAAGTCCCAGCAGGTGAGGATGGATTCAAGCAGGTCACGTGTGTGGGAGGCGCAAGGACGGTGTGATCGGAAAGGCGCTTTGCCTGCGGCAAGTGTTTGTTAGGGGAGTGTGGGGCTCAGGGGAAGAAAGGCAGAGATGCAGACTGTGCCCACCAGCGGGCTTTCATGGGTAAGGAGAAAAGCTAAGCTGAGCTAAGTTCACCCCAAGTGGGCTGAAAGTTGTTCACTGAAGGACTCGGGTGCAGCTGGTGTGCTGGGAAGATGATCTCAGGAAGCTGGGGTGCGCCAGAGGGCAAGAAGGACCACCTTCTGAGACTGCTGCTGTAGGTGCTGGGGCTCCATTCCACTGGCCCTGAGCCGTGCCCAGGATGCCACAGGAAGGGAATACCTGAAGGGCTGGAGGCTGACGCACCTTTCCCCAAGCCCATCCTCAGCAGCTGAGCGACAGCTGGAGGACTGACGCTCTCCCACCCTCTCTTCTGGGTGGGCCTCAGAGAGCTGGGGCAGAGAGCCCATCACAGCTGCGTGGAGGCCAAAGGAAAACCTCAGGAGCCACAAGCAGGCCCGCTTAGCACCACAATTGCTGGAGAGGCCAGGAGGGGCTGGCTTATCGCCAGGGCTTCAGTGACACAGATCCCACCACCTCTTGGCTCTGCCGCCCTCAGCATTGCTTGGGCCGATTCTCTCTGGCTGTGGTCAACCAGGCAAGGCCACAGGCCCCCTCAGCCACATGCGTGAGGACAGCAAGAGCAGAAACCTGCCCCTGTGACGACCCTTCAATCCTGTCAGGGCCCACCCCACCCTCAGCCAATATCAGACTAGGTGGCTTCCAGGAATGGCCTGGAGCAGGTCAAATACTGACTTCTTACCTGGATTTAAGCTTGTCCCAAGGGGCCAAACCCTGGAGGCCGTGTAGTTTCAGAAGTTTTCCCTGCACCCAGATGGGAGGATGTAAACCCAACCAGTGCCCTGTTCAGGGTGCAGGCTGAGCATCTCTGCTTTGTGGGGGTGGAGCAACCAAATACTGGCCAACAGGATGGCTGAGGGAAGGATGGAGGGTCCTTGTAAACTGGGTCGGGAGCGGAGATTTAATCAACCACCAACTGTCTGACCTTGGGCTGGTGACTTAGAGTTCTTGCCCATCTATAAAATGAGAATAACAACAATAAGTCTACCTCTTAGGGTGTTGAAAGTGTTGAATCAATTAGAGTGCTGAGTGGCTAATACAGAGCCTGGCACTTAGCAGGTACCTGGAAAGTAATTCATGAATTTTCACCCCCAAATCTTGCTGTTTGAAAATCTTTCTGAACATTTGGAGCCTTTTCTGCCCAGTCATATCCAATACCCCTGGGCCCTACATGTAAATGGGTCTCTTTGAACCTATTCTTGGACACGGGAGACTTTAATGGACATGCCCAAGTTTATATACCTAGCATATGGCAGAGGCAGGAGAACATGACTTTGTCATGACTCAGCTGTACCCAGAGGCTTCAGCAGTGTCTAAACTGCATGTATCTTTCCAAACATCTTGTTTGTCTGGCATCATGTTATTATTCCATCGTCCAGCTCCCCTCCAAGTGCCTGCCTTTTGTCATTCCCTCTCCTCCAGGGTCATCAGTTCTCCCCCTGTGGACCATTCCATCCCTTAAATGTGGTGTGATGGTGGATGGACATTGAGGTTGTTTCTGACCTTGCACCATTACACAAGGCTCTAATGGATGTGTTTGACTAAGGCTTGCCTGCACCTGGATGAGTCCATCTCTAAAATAAATTCCTAGATGTGAAATTGCTGGGTCTGAGAGCATGTGCACTTTTTATTTTGATGGCTCTTGCCAAAGTGCCATTTATAGGAGTGGAACTGTTTACAGACCTACCAGTAATCATCAGAAGACCTGTCCTCTAACCATCGCAACATACTTAGTTATCAAACCTTTCTCCCTTGGAAGATCTGAAACATGAAAAGTAGAGTCTCATTGGGAGATTCCTTAAGAAGTAAATCAGATTCTGTCTCCCCATCCATATACACTTAAAACTCCAATGGTTTCCATGGTCCTTAGAACAAAATCCAAACTCTTGATGACAGCCTGTAAGGTCTTATGTGAATTCGGCTTGATTTAGTTTTTAATCTCGCCTCAAGTGCTTCTCCCAGCCCCTTCCCACCACACAGCAGCCACCCTGGCCTTGCTTAGTTTCTGGTACTTGCCAGATTCCTTGCTGCCTCAGGGCCTTTGCTTGTGCTGTTTTGCTTTTGGGAATGTACTCTCTGCTCTTCTGTGTCTGGCTCCCTCAAGTCTCAGACACCGCTGAGTCCCCTAACTGAAAAAGTCCTCCCTATTATTTTCTCTCATGCCCTATCTTTTATATTCTTATAATGCTTACCCAAACTGTCATGATTTTATTTATTTTAAAAACATTCTTGTTCCCTGTCCCTAGAATGTAAGTTCTTGCTATAAGGGCAGGGATCATGTAGACTTTATTCCCACTGAGTCTCCAAGACCTAGCACATGTCTAAGCATGGCTGGTGCTTAATAATGTCTTTTGAATGCACAAACAAATGACTGAAATAAATCCCTTAAGAAAATCAGGCTAGGTTTCTTTTCTGTTGTCTGCCTAGTACAGTGTCTAGGTGTTCAGAAAATGCTATCCCATGAAATATTGGCTATCTTATTGACTTTTCTGCTATTTTACTAAAAATAGAATATAACAATAATAAACAGCAGCTAGTGGAATGTTCCATGTTGTTCAGTTAGTCCACAGTTAACTATAAAGTGGGTTCCATTTAATTTAAGAGATTTGGACCTTTCATAGGGCTTTATAGTAGAAAAAGGCATGCCTATTCTGAGTGACCAATCCTAATGATCACCACCACCACCACCATTCACTGAGTAGGTGTGAGGCACTCTCTGAATGCTCTTCATGGCTTATTCCATTTGGTCCTTACAACACCTATAACACACAAAACATCCTTACCCTTTTACAGATGAGGAAATTGAGCTCTCAGCTGTTAGGCAACTGGCCTCTGGTACCACAGCTAGCATTTGAACCCAGGGCTGCTGATTCTTTGAAAAGCCTGTGCTTGACCAAGGCCTCAGCAAAGCCATTCAGCCTGGAACCTCCAACCCCTCCTCACTTGCTGTTCCACCCGGTGCTGAGGGTGCCATGGCCAGGCTGCAAACTCCAGCAGAGTGCCAGGGAGAGAGGCTCCCAGGGGTGTTTTCAGCTCTGCAGTAGCTAGGAAAACGGGTCATTCTCCTGTCTTCTCCCTAGATCATCTACCTGCGGCAGTTCAAGGCCCTGCGGACACTCAGCCTCTCTGGGAACCCCATTGCCGAGGAAGAGGATTATAAGATGTTCACCTGTGCCTACCTTCCTGACCTCATGTACCTGGACTTCAGGCGCATCGATGACCACATGGCAAGTGTCTTCCTCTGGGTCTCCCAGCCCTGTGAGTCAGTCTCCATGCCCCCCAGGTTTCACGGGAAGGACACTGAGGCAGTGCTCCCCGTCCACACCAAGAGGGACGAAAGGATAACTCCCTCATCCTAACTCCTTTACCTGCCTCTTGTCACAGCAATTCCAGCAGAGCCTTCATGGTAACTGTCCAGTGTGTGCTCACATCACCCAGGACCCTACCACCTGTCACCTCCTGGCCACCTCACCGCCATCCTGTACCATCTGGTTTTCTGGATGAAGTTGAGGGGACCAAGTGAGGGTCAGCAATTAGCCAGGATCAGCAGCTCATGCAAAGCCAGGGTTCACCCCTGCCCTATGACCCCAGGAACAATATGGACAGCTAACTCTTGTGCACTTTCACGCCAAGCACGTGGCCTATTGCTTACTGTTTTCTTCACCACCTGGGAGGCGGGTCCTGCTCTCATCCTCAGCTTGCCTGCAGAAAGCAGACACAGCGAGGTGGCTCACGCAGGGTCCCCTGGCCAGTGCTGGCAGTGCTGAGTTGGGCCCAGGCAGTCTGGCTGCAGAGCCCATGCTTCCAGGCCCTGTGCAGGGTTCACCTCAGAGAGGAGGGCGTTTCCCCTGCTCACTGCCTGGTCTGCCTGCTGCCTGCCTCACTCCCACTTCCCTTGCTGTGAGCTGGTCCCCTCTTGCTTGCTTCTCACTCTTTCAGTGTGATCAGTTTGTGGGTGCTTTCCCCATTGGAAAAAGGAACCTGCCCCAATATGTGAGGCCTTTGGAGGCAGAACTGATGTTCCTGTATGTTGGGTGCTGGGAAGACCGAGGACTGTTTGACCTGCCCACTCCCCCCGGGAGCTGGTGTCTTCCCTGGGAGAAAGGAGCCTGGGCCTGGGGAGCACTGAGATGCTTCGGGAACATCAGGGAGTCCAGCAGGGGAGAGGCAGGGAGGAGGTCTGGCCCACAGGTCTCAGTGGTGGCCCTGCCCAGCCTGGACGAGGGGCAGAGCCCAGCCTCCAATGGGCCACACTGCCACCAAGTCCTTCTTGGGAGGTCCGTGGAGACAGAGTGGGGTCAGAGAGTTGCCCCTCCTCTGGCCAGGGCTTCCTCTTGTCCTATAACAGTACAAGAATCTGAGATTTTGAATTCTAAGATTCTCAAGTCTTATTTGTTTTCTGTTAGGTAATGATTTGAAAGGCAACCAGATAAGCTTAGAATAAACCCAAGAACTGCTGGGGTATGTTTCACTCATTATAAAACCATGGGACTGCATTGTTCCAAAGCCCACCTCCAGGCATTCTCTCCTTGGTCTCCAGAAGCTTCCATACAGGGCAGGTAACATAGCCTGGGCATCCCCATTGTGCTGTGAGGAAACGAAGGCTCCTTTCACAATTCAGAGACTTGCCTAGAACCATTGAGATAAATAATAAGTAAAAATTGTAAGAGCAGAGTTCTGCAAAGCTGGGGCACCTGAAACTCCCCTGTACTGGCTGTCCTGGGGCCAGCCATAGCCTGGCCTCTTGGTGCCATAGGGCTAAGGCTGCAGGATAGTCTGGCCCAGATGCCAGTGGACCAGGAGCCCAGGACAAGCTCTTGGGGGTGCTTCCCAGCTCTGCAGAGCTCTCCCTCAGGGCTTCTCATGTTTCCATCAGGCCAGTTTTAAGTTGAGGCCCTGGGCTGTTCCTGAAGGCTGGCCTCTCAGTCCAGCCCTGAGGAACAGCAAAGAACACAGAATGGGCAGCAGATGTGAGCTTGGGGGGCTTTGTGTGGGGAGGGGGAGACAGGCAGGAGGGATGGGGGCCAGTCATGCTGGGCCTTGGGGCTTGTCCTGTTGACGGTGGAGGCCCATGGGGAATCCTGAGCAGTTTTCAGCAGGATTCACAAGTGATCAGCAGTTCAGGGATCTGGTGACTGTTATGGGGAATAGAGAATATAGAGGGAGACATGTGGGACAGGGAGGGATGTGCCATGGTCCAGAGAGAAAGAGAGAGAGGAAGAGAGAGGAGGTAGTGGCCTCACCCAGGACAGGGCTGTGAGAATGGAAAGGAGAGGAGAGGCCGGATACTAGAGATTTTTTAAAATTTAAACTTATTTATTGATGTATAATTATGTAAGGAAACAGAATGTAAGCATACAGTTCAGTGAATAATGAGATCTTGAGAAGGGTTTCAGCTCTGCTATATAAACTGTTTGCAGCCAAGGCCCAAGTTAAGGCATAAAACTACAATGATATGTGTACTGACATGATATTTGGGAGCAAGGCTGGGATGGGCTTCAGGCAGCACAGGACAGGGGAAGGAAACCTCTGCCTTCTTTTATGGAGCCAACACATGGCCAAGGGAGACAGAAAATTAGATCCTACCACACATCTGTGACAATGCCCAGAAGGAAGGACACAAGCTGAGATGTACAGGAGGTGGTTGTGGGATGTTTCCCCAAGGAAGTGGTTTGAGCTGGGATCTACAGGATTGGTGGGAGTGGGCTGGGTGAAGGAGCGGCCCAGGCAGAAGACTGAGCATGTGCAAAGGCCCTGTGTCAGCAGGCAGCCTGGTGAGTGGGCCAGTGGTTGTCACTTGGAGAGCTGGAGAGATAGGCAGAGCCTTGCAGGCCAGGGCAGGAGCTTGTCATTACCCTATGCCCAAGAAGAAGCCATACAAGGTAATTGAGGGGCTGACAAGATCGGGTTTGCATTTAATAAACATTGCTCTGGCCGTTTGCAGGGGAGGGGTGAGCAGACTAGAGGGGGACAGGGTGCACAGGGGAGGCCAGCCAGGAGGCCTAGGCAGGGGTCCTGGCAAAAGAGCTGTGACAAATCAGAGAGGCAGCAGTTCAGAGGAAGCATGGACAGGCCTGGGCACAGCCTAGGTCTGAGGGGAGGGGAGGGTCCAGGATGGCTCCTGGGTCTCCAGCTTGGCTGCTAGATGGATGGAGGGCCACTCACCTCAGTGGGACTCTGGAAGACAGAGGTCCATCTTGGGTGGTGAGTTGGCAGTGTTCTTGAGGGAGCCAGAGTAGGCGAGGTTGTCAGAAGGTCTCAGGTGGGGCCTGGGCTGGAGGTAGAGACCAGAGGTAGTGTCATTGGAGAATGGAGTGTTGTTCTTGAACCCTTAGCCCAGATGAGATCACCCAGGATTAGAAGAGTGAGCTGAGAAGGGTGAGGGCTGAGTCCAGGGGTGCCAGCAATCTCCGGTGGGCACAGAGGGATGAGCAGGAGGGGTGGAAGGAGAGCCAGTTGCCGGCAGGCACAGAGCCAAAGGCCCAGACCCTGTGACCAGGCCTGTGATTCAAGTACCTCATTTTCCCTCCCTCCCATTGTGCATCCCTAAAGGAGAGCCAGCACACCCGCCACGGCTGGCTGCGGGAGACAAGGAGCCTGTGCACGGGGTGCTGGTCACCATCCCCCACCTCCCTGAGGGTGGGTGTCCTGAAGACCTTCAACCTGCTCCTGCTGCCTTCCCCACCGCTCTGATTCTCCAATTCCCCTCGGAATCATCAGAAAGGGCCCTAAGGACATGAGCCGTTCTAATCCCTAGAGCCTTCATGAGGAGACCCATCTACACCCAAGCCATGCTAGAGAGGCTACTGGACAACAGAGGCCAGTGTGGCTCGGAGGGACCACATGTCCCCTGATAATCATGCCACCTCCTATTCCCCCGTCAGAAAGAGCTGGCAGCGATCAAGCACCAGTACAGCATTGATGACCTGAAGCACCAGGAGAACCTCACTCAGGCCTGGCGGGAGGAAGAGCAGGCCCGGCGGGAGGATCTGGAGGAGCACAAGGTATGCTCAGCAGGGAGGAGCCCCACTCCCTTCCTCCCCCTGCTCCTGCTGGTGGAGGCCAGCCACAGTCGTGGGTCCAATTCCGTGGAGGTCAGCAGAGCCCAGGCCCCGAAAGCCTTGTCTTTTGATGGAAAACAGATGTTGTGCAGCCCTGCCTGGCTCTGATGGAGCGTGATATACGCAGGACCTAGCACCCTGTCTGTGTCCTGCTCCACCGCCTGTCCCCAGGGCCAGCTCCAGCTCAGCCCAACCCCACCTCCAGCCCAAGGGGCTGGGGAGTGGTGCAGAAACCATCTGTCAAAGCAGCTCCTTTTCTTCAAACCTCCAGGCAGGTCCCCACAGCAGCCAGGAAGATTAAGCCCCTTACTCTGCCCGCCCCTCCCTCCAGCCAGACTGAGTCAAGTGCAACTTTCAGTTTTATACCTCCAGAACCCCACATATGCCAGGCCCTTTGTCCAGGCCCTGCCCTGCCCTGCCTTCCTCAAAGGCTGAAGCCCATGTGCAGCATCCCTCCTCCATGAAGCGTCACTGACCCCAGTGCCCAGGGCAGGACCCTGCCCAGTAAGCCCTTGCCAGGGCCTGTGAAATGAACCACTCACCTGAGCCTGGCTATGTTTCTGAATGCAGGCTGCGTTTGTCGAGCACCTGAATGACTCCTTCCTGTTTGACAGCATGTACGCTGAGGATGTGGAGGGCAACAAGCTGGATTGCCTGCCTGGTGTCAGGGAGCTCTTTGAGACATATCCTTCCAAGTTCACAGCTCCCTCCTCTGGCAAAGCCTAAGTCCCAGTCTGCCTGGGGCAAGTCCCTCTCCACTCTGGGCCTCAGTTCCCTCATCCCTCTTGTGAGACCCTGGAAAGTAAAACCCCCAGTCAGAACAATGTACTCAAAAGGCAGCACAGAGTCAGGTCAGCTAAGAGGCGCGGGAAATGCTGTCTAGATGTCAGGGACACACTGAGTGTCAGCATGGCACAGGTCTGCTGTGCTAGACAAGCTAGGTTGTCAGAGATAGAGCATGGAAGTGTGGGTCTGTGGCACTAATCCTCATCAACCATATTTACTTGTCCCTGCTGTGCACTTCATATTCCGTATTTATGATTTTCCCAGCCACCCCAGTAGATGAGTGTCATTACTTATGAATCCCATTTTCTAGTTGGGGAAACTGAGCTTGAAGAGGTTGGCTTGTCCAAGGTCACACCATTAGAAGGTGGGATAAATCCTAGTCTGTGGGGCTAAGAGCCTGTATTCTTTCCCCCAGTTGACTGGAGCCCAGAGGAGGTGATCCCTGGCCTAAAGAGGAATGAGGGAACTGAGGCCCACGGTGACCCATCCGTTGGCCTAAATGGAAGTTGAGAGAACTTGGGACGGGCTCAGCCAGATGGAGAGTGCTGGAAGGAGGTAGAGAGTCAGAGGCTGCAGAGCCACCATCTCTGGGTGGAAAAAGCTCACTCGGAAGCACCCACCATTCCTCAAAGAGCGGGAGAGGAGCGGTGAGGTTGTGGGCCAAGCAAATGGTGAAGAGCGGGGCTAGCGCTGCCGCCCTCAGCTGGGTCACTGGCCTTGCATCTAGGCTGGAGCACCTGCTGACCGCAAGGCCTCTCCCAGAGACTCCATGCAACTGTACTGGCATGCCTCCACTACAGGTGAGGAAACTAAGGCCAGGGAGGAAGAAGTGGCAGAGCCAGAACTAGAACCTGGATCTCTCTTCCTCAAGCCTATGGTCCTGACACCTCCACAGGCTCCCTCAGTACACCTGCACAGCTGAGAATGAGGACAGGCCCTTGGCAGAAGTGCCCCCAGATAACACAACAGAGACAAATATACACTGCCCCATCCCCTGGCCAGGCCAGCTCCCCCAGGCTCCCAGCCCCCCGGCCCATCCAGGTCCCCGACAAGTCCCTGGGGCCTTTGTTCGCACACCCTCCTTAGCTCTGTGGTCTCCTTCCGTGGCCCCTGCCTCCTCCCCCCATGCAGGTCCCACTCCTGAACACCTCAGGCTGAGGGTGGGGGTGCCCAACTACCACATTTTCCTCCAATTCTCAACCTGGCTCTGCACCACCTTCATCATGCGCCCTCCCAGCCTGCCCCCAAGACAGCCACAAGCTTCCTTAATAGCCACTCACCTACAAGGACAAATTTGTCATCATCTGCCTGAACATTTTTGAGTATGGCCTGAAACAGCAGGAGAAGCGGAAAGCGGAGCTTGACTCCTTCAACGAGTGCATCCAGGAGGCCATCCAGGAAAACCAGGCGCAGGGCAAACACCGGATTGCCCAGTTCGAGGAGAAGTACTTGCTGGTAGGCTTCACCCCTCCCTGAGCCCTCCCTGCCTCCTACTCCAGACACCAAATGCCAGGAGCCTGGCCCCACCAGAAGGGCTGCATACCCTCTGCCTCTCATGGCCCCTGAGACCCACTGTCGTTGTCCTTATTCACCTGAGATCACACAGCTCGGTGGTAGAACCATGGTTCAGCCTCCCACTGGCACTGCCGCAAGTCTGTGACCAACCTCAGCTGCTCCGCCATGCCAGGGCTGAGCCACACGGGGGATCTGTGGGTCTCTTCACCTAACAGGCCCAGGGCTCAAGGGGGCACTATCACTACTGTTAACAGTGGCTCTGTTACCACTGCTTCTCCTATGACCGTGACGATGGCTAGTTCCTCTCTGCGTTCACTTAGCAAACATTTTCTGGGCTGCTCAGTGCATAGCTCGAGGAAGCCAGACCCATGCTGGACATGGCTCTTGCCCTTAGCGAGCTCCCATTTGGTGAGGGGCACAGACCCAGGCTCTCCCCACTGCTGTGGTCAGCACTGTACTGGGGAGAAGCCCAGGAAGACTTGGGGTTCCCAGGGGCACCTTAACTCAGGCTGAGGCTTACAGGACAAAGAAGAATGGCCAGGGATGATGAAAGAAGGGTGTTCCACCCAAGGGAGCAGGTCCCCAGCATCCGGGACCTGCCTGACCCAGGCCACTCAGCCCAGCCCAAGCAGGGGCCATGTGGTGGGAAGACCACATTCCTAACCTGTTCTAAATCACAGATCTTTGTGAGACTAAGGAAAGCCATGGACTTTCTTTCCCCTCAGAAAACTGTTGGCATACAACAGGTATGTGACACTTGCCAGCAGCACCAAGGTCCTCAAGGAGTCTAGAAAGCCACTCCTAGTTGAGCACTCTTAGTTTAAAGTCAAGCAAAATCCCCTGATGATACAAGTGCAGGTCCAGTGGGGCTGGTGGGGGGCTTCTGTATGCTTCCCAGTCCCCCCTCCCGCCCCGCTCCCCAACTCGCATCGTTGTCTCCCGGGCTGCCCAGCAGGACTCACATTCTGTGTGATCTAACTCTTGAGAGCCTCCTCGGGTTATGGGAGGGGTGCCACTGTGCTCAACCAGAAGTTCAAACCTGTCAGCTGAGGAATACAGTTGGCTCACATTTATGTTTTGTTGGCCTGCAGAGGGTTTTTAAATGTTTTTAACATCCTGCTGACATTAAAAATGAGAAGATTTCAGAGAAAATTTGTGTTTGCCACCTTCTCTGGAGACAGTTGTCACTAGGGCCTGAGCAATGGGTTCCCCTCTGGCCAAGCCACGTCTCCAGTGCCTGTCTGGCACATCCTCTCTGACATTTCTCTTCTGGTTCCTGTAGCCACTGGATTTGGGAGGCCAACTGGCTACTCCTGAAGCTCTAGGCCAGGGCCCAGTCCTCTCAGCAGCAAATGCCACTGGAGAGGCAGGTCATGGGCCAGACCACAGCCAGTGTCGCACTCTCCCTGGCATCAAGCCCGACTCCCTGCCATGCTGCCCCTTCGGTTGGGGTGAGTGTATTGAGAGCAGGCTGCTCCCTCTGCCTCTGGGGCACTGGTCTGCGTGACTCCCATGATGCTGTCCCTCAAAGGCTGCCCCAGCTGAGCTGATGAAGCTGAATGCCTCTCTAGGAGTTCTCATCCAGCCTACATGCCAGACCCTTGGGGACCCGACATAGTGCTGGTGGCTGGCCTGGGGGTTCAGCCTGGCACTGGGATTTCTCAGAGCTCCACAGGTGCCTCCAGTGCTCAAGCCCAAGCCGAGCCCACTGTTTTGGAAGTTCACAGAATTCCTTGGGCCTGAGGCCCCCAGCACCCACCAGACACAGGACCTCTCCCCAAGCTGGTCCTGCACTCCTCCCACCACCCCACTGCACAGGGCTTACACAGCACCCCCTCCCGGTGCCCCGTGGGGTGCAGCTCCGAGCAGTACATGGGCAAAAGGCTCAAGTGGTCCCCTCCCTTCTTGGCCTGCATTTCCTCATTAAGGAAATAGAACTGTCCTCCAGAGCTCCAGTGGGGAGCAGAGGGGAGCAGCACCAGCACAAGTAGGGGACAGGCAGTCTGTGCACTGGTAGCAGCTTGTGGATCAGTAATACTTGTGTAAGCACAGACACGGGATGAGAAAGAGCACAGCCAGCCTGCCTCTGGCCCTGCATGTGTGTGTGTGTGTGCGTGTGTGAGATGAAAGTGTGACACACACTGTTCTGCACTTTGCTTTGCTATTTTATCTGTGCAGCTTAGAGATTCTTCCAAAACTTGAACTGCTTCACTTTTTTAGTAGTTGTAACATATCCATTGATGAGCCATAATTTATTAAGCTAGTCCCTGTGGATAGACAATTAAGTTTTTCCCAATCTTTTGCTCCTTCAAACAATGTTGCAATAACAACTTGGTGCAGCTTTGACCAGTAGGATGAAGTCCTAGAGGGGACCATGTATGGCCATTTTGCTAGTTATCACCCAACTGCACTCCACCGAGGCTTTACATCCTGCAGCCCTGCTGTTCCCTTGTCAAGCCAGGGTTAACCAAGCGTTCTCATCCCTGCCAATCTGCTGCACTTGAAATGTGTGTTCATTTCCTCTTATGTGGGGGTGAGCATCCCATTTTACAAATACTTGTATTTCTTATTCTGTGTACTATTTTTATATGTCCTTACCCATTTTTCTTTCTGTTTCTTGGTATATATCTATCTATTTTTTTAAGAAAAAAGTCATTACTTTGTAGGAGCTCTTTATAAGCTGAGAAATTAGCTCTGTTAGTGAATAAATTGCAAATATTTTTCCTAGTTTGTTGTTTATCTTGTCATTTTGTCTGTGGTGCTGTTGCCAATCAGAATTTAAAAATTTTTATGTAGCAGAATTTTTAATCTGTTTTTCTGATTATAATTAGAAAGAACTTCTCTATCTGAGATTATTTATTAAACCTCCCCCCCCCCTTTTTTTCCTTCTAGTACTTTTATGGCTTTATTTTGTACATTTAAATCTTCATTCTGTGGGAATCAGTTTTCATGGAAGGCTTGAGGCAGGGATCAAACTTGATTTTCCTCCAGATGGAGTAGCCATTGTTGTAAATATCATTCATCCCACTGAACTGCTCCCAGTCACTCTATCCTCCTTCACAACTAGTACCAAATCTCAAACAAGCTGACATTGCAGCCATTTGCCAAGTTCCCAGGCCCTGTGTTGGTGAGCGGTTGGTGTTCAGTGCCAGGCTTGGACACGAGGGTGCCCTCCAGTCATGAGCACCCTCTCATTCCAAACAGTTCAGCATCTGTTTACCACTGGTGTCCACTGGTTTGCTGGGGTGCTGTGTGGGTCCACCTAGGTTCCTCACAGACCAGCCCTATCTTATGTTTCCAGTGTCTCTTCTGACCTGTGCCTGCAATGAAGCCTTTTATCGGAGCCTCCGTTAGTCAAGCCCCTACTGTAAGCCAGGACGTGGTCACTTTGTGAAGCACAGGTTCTCTCTCTCTTTACATGAAGAAACTGAAGCTTAGAGAGTGGAAGTAGCTCACTTGAGGTCACATCACTCATAAGTAACCCAGACAGGACTCAAAGTCGATCCACTTGACTCTAAAGCCATTGCTCCTTCCCCCTAACCCAGCCACCTCTAATAAAAACCTGAGCTAATGTGGACTGAACACTCTCTAGCTAGTACTAGCATCTGCTCTAGCACAGAGAGGGTAAGCAGGTTCTACAAGCTCACATAATGGGCAAGTGGTGGACCTGACACTTAAACTTAGGCAGTCTGACCCCAGAGTCCAAATTTTCACCCACAAAACCAAACTGTCACCTATCATTAACCCATTATGCATAGGTGTGGATTCTTAAAGCACAGCTTTTGTTTCCAGAGTTTAAGTGCCATTCAAGATGAGTCTGAACTGACCAACATCGAGAAGAAGATAGAGGAATACAGCGAGGACATCACTGAGCTGTTCAATGTGCTCATGACGCTGGAGGTGCAGTTAGTGGAGCAGCTGGAGGTGAGGCCAGGGCCCTGGGTGCAGAAGTGATGCAAACCCGGTGATGCGGCTGCAGAACTACATTGGAGCTGGTGCCCTCCCAGGTGCTCCTCTGCCATCAATGCCCAGTCAGACTCAGCGTGTCAGACTAACGCTTTCTTGCTCATAAGACCTGTGTTTGCTTTTAATACATTTCAGTCACTTAGACTGCAAGTGAGTCCTGTGCAGCATGAGAGGTGAGCTCATTTCTCTGGAATCTTCCCCCCATCATGAGCCTCAGTGAAGAGAGGTTGACACTGGGTGGGTGCTTGAAGGAAACAAAGTGGACCCCCACTCTGGGACAAAACAAAGGCCCCTCAGCATGTTCCTGTACTTGCCACAACCTAGCCTAGCCTCGGAGAGGAAATGAAGAGGGCTGCTGCCTAAAATTCCTCAGTGGCCGGAGCGCCCTTTGTGTTCACAAGGCAGCAGGGCTGGGAGTCTGAAGTGCTGTGACGAATCTAACCTCATTGGATGCTGCCATGGCTGGGCCAAGAGATCACGCCTCATCAATCCCTCACATGTCGAGTGACACCTCAGATGCGGGATAGATCTCATCATCATATCACGTAGCAGGTGCTCGCTGCCCACTGGGGATGCTTGCACCCCACTGAAGGCAGCATGTGGAGCAGCGGGGGCGGGGGGACTCAGGTAGGGCTCCCAGCCTTTTCACCCCCCGGAACCTCTGCATGGCTGGGCAAACTTGTTACCAGTGGCCAAAAAGCTGTGAAGTGCACTCGTGCTTTTAGTGTCCTTGTTTTTATTCATTACAACAATGTTTACACACATTTGAAAAATGTAAACTTAGCTCGGCCTGCAGAAAGTCCTGAGACACGTAGATTCCCTGTGCCCCTGGAGTCTGTGGTAGATTGGGGTGACCCATCCTGGGGGCTCACGGGGTGGCAGGCCCCACCTTCGCATCTTCCATTGTTCCCTTACTCAAGTCCCATGTAGGCCCTGGACCAGATGGCAGCAGTGCAAGATGCCCTCAGGGAAGGAGGTGGGAACTGTGCAGGCAGCTGCACTGAGAGGGGAGGGCTGGGTAATAGCAGACCAGCATTCCTAAGGGCTTTGTCTCTGCCAGGCACCTGGAAGAGCATTTCACATGAAATACTTCATTTAATCTTCACCACCACTCCATAAGACAGGAACTAGAAGAAAACCCATTTCATAGATGAGAAAGTTGAGGCCCTTGGATGTGAAATGACATTCCCAGAGTTACACACAGTGGTGGAGTTGGGATACTGATCCAGGCAGTCTGGCCCTCAATGAATCCCTCCCTGTTTCTCTAGAGGTGATGGGTAGGTGCTACTGAGAAGCCCAAAGGAAGGGGGATAGCTCTTTGTGTGTTGTGCTGGTGGGGTAAGACCAGGACAGGTGCTCCTGGCAGAGGGACCTAGAGAAAGCACAGCATTAAACCTTCAGTTGGTAGTGAGTTAGTCGAAATGGCTGGCGAGTAACAGAACCGTGGGAAAGGGTCAGGAGAGAGAAGTAGGGTCAGCTGACACACATCTACCTGGGTGGTCAAGGTCATCAGTCTTTACCCTGAAGATCTGTGATTAGAGGAGGGACTGTTAAGTTATAAGGAGTACCTTTTGCTCTGATGCTAGGTCAGTCAAGTTCATCTAAATATGCATGTTAACTGTGTTCTTTATCATTTCCAGGAGACTATAAACATGTTTGAAAGGAACATCATTGACTTAGTGGGACTCTTCATTGAAAACGTCCAAAGCCTATATCTTTTCTTTGATGACCCTCCACAGAGGCACTCCTGGGCTGTGCAGTTGTCTAGACCTATCCCAGGGCTCCCCCGCCCCATGGGGGTAGGGGAGAGGCACCTGCATTTTTACCAAAAGGCAGAGGAGAATAAAGCTTCTTCACAAACTGAGCAGGATGCAAATTAAGAGGGGTCCTTTTCCAGGTGGCCACCTGCAGATCACACTCCTGCTACCCTCCCACTGCCACTACAGCCCTAAACACGTTGGCAGGGAGAGTTTTTAAAAACTTAGTGCTTTATAATCATACTTCAACTTTTACCAGAAATACCTAAGCCCCGTTTGATGTACAGAGAGATCTATACCTCCACCAAGATGATGATAAATTCATCACAGGCTCTATTTACCACCTTTGAAACTAGAGGAATGTAAAACGTCCAGTTTCTCACCAAGGAGGTTCATCTTCAGAGGACTGAGATTTGGCAACCACATGGAATGTTCAAAGAATGTTCCTCAGGATCTGAGGGAGTTTCCCAACCCTCAGAACAACGGCAGTGTGCAGAGTAAAGGTCTAGCTGTCCAGTGGGGTTGCTGTGTTTGAGGTCTCAGCATATTTTTTGTGTTGTAGGTGCACATGCAGCATCCATGTTGAAGACACTGACAAATTATTCATGATATCATCGGGTTAAAGTCAAGGTTAAGAGCTGACATTTGGGGCACCACACTTCTGCTGCCTGGACTCGGGGCCCTGCCATGTGGGGACAAACTGCTGTGCTCTGGTCCTGCCTTCCTGGCCCACAGTCCCATGTGGAGACAGAAGTTATAAAGGCAGTGAGTAGCAGCTGACCAGGAGGCCAGGCCTGGAGCCTCCCAAGGGAGGGTCCACTAAGTGAGGCCCTGAGCACAAACCAGAGCGACCAGGTAGAAAGGTGGGGGGACAGTCCAGGCAGAGGAGGCAGTCTGTGCAAAGGCCCTGAGGACAGGCCAGAGAGGTTTGGTTTCACGAGGAGGCCTAAAGGCCACAACAGAGTGGGAAGCTTCTGGAGAGCCATAGGAAGGGAGGGATGGGGTAGTGTCAACCTGCATGTGTAAGAGCACACTCCGGCTGCTGTGGGAAGCAGGGGCCAGAGTGCAGAGACCGCATGTCAGTCTACTGTCCAGACAGGAGGTGGTAGGATGGAGAGAAGAGGACGATGGAGGGACACTGAGGGGACCCAGCACCAAGGCTCAGTGCTGACTAGGTGAGGCAGGGGTGCCAGAATGGCCCTCGAGTTTGGTAGTGTCGGGGGACGACTGTGAGGGTGAGGATGCGGATGCACGGGCACATGGGAGGTTGCCCTTCTGTCCTCCAAAGTCCATTGGGTCCAGCAGAAATGGCCCAGCCCCTGAGTGCTTGCAGAGATCCCAGCCCACAGGTCAGGGCTCCCTGCCTGCTCCCGCCGTGGTCTTTGCTTAACTCGCGGCTGGCACGATGGCTCAGTGCCGGGACTTGGAGAACCACCACCACGAGAAGCTCCTGGAGATCTCCATCAACACTCTGGAAAAGATAGTGAAGGGCGAGCTCGAGGAAGACCTGCCAGACGGCTTGCGCGCGGTGAGAGCGGAGGGGCGGGGCGGGGCACCGGGGCGAGGGGGGCGGGGCACCGGAGGCGACGGGGCGAGGCGGTGGAGGGCGAGGGGCGGTGCACCAGGGGCGAGGGGGAGGAACGGCCCCGCGCAGCTCCGCGGCTGCCGTGAGCCTGACAACCCCGAAGCCTGCTTCTTCCTCTGCAGGAGACACTAACCCCCTTTGCTGGGGGCTGGGGCAGGGGAAATAGGCCGACAAACCTCCTGGTGGGCACTCGGTAGGGCCCAACTAAAGTGGAGCTCATAATAATTAAGTGGTTTCAACTCATAGTTTCCAAAAGCAACTTTTTGTGGGGCTTCTGGCACTTTCTGAGAGAAGCAGTTAGGTTAAGGTCAGAGATTTCCCCCGAAGGCCTTTTTAACCCTTGGGATTCTGTTGTGAGCAGCACTGCGGGGGTGTGGGGACCACCCCACTTCTGACCCTGCATGTTGCTGTCCCAAATCTCGCTAGGGAGCCTCTTGGCTCCTCTGCATTATGTCTCTGGGAAGGGGTGCAGGCCAGATACTTTCTTGTCAGGAGCCTGCTTCCATCCCTTCATCATTCATTCCACTCCTCATTTCTCAGCTTCTCTCCATCTCCGCATAACCACCAACTCAAGCTGTTGTCCATTGCCTGGACTGCTGGCCCCTTTCCTCCAGGCTGCTTTCCACACAGCAGTCTTGAGACCCTTTGAAAACCCAAGCCACATCATTTTGTGCTTTTGCACAACCCTAATGGCTTCCTCTTCACTAGAGTCCCCCAGACCCTCAAGCCTGGCCTGCCTCCATCAGTAACCTTTCCCCCACCCCATCCTTGGGGCCGCCCCAAGTCCCCCAGGTCTGCCCCTTTCAGTTGATATGCCACATGGCACACATCCTTCCCTCAGGTCTCCATGTGTCTAGCTTGTCCGGGTCATTCAGACCTCAGCTCAAATGCCAGCCCCTTGGAGAAGCCTTCCCTCATCACCTTCCAGAAAAACATCTCCCCATCACACACCTGTTTATTGTTGTCAGAGCCCTTACCACAGTGTCGGCTATCATGTTTGTGTTGATTTGCTTATGTGACTGTTCGCCCTGCATAGAGGCTCACAGGGAAGGCAGAGATGGCCTTTTCACCACCATGTACCTCCCAGTGTCAGGGTCAGGCGCATGGCACAACCACAGCACACTAGGGGCCAGTTCACTAGCCCCACTCTGTCAGGTGCTGGCTAAATCCTGCAGGTGGAGGCCAGCAGGCCCCACTCCTGCAGCCTCTGTCTGAAGGCTGCAACAGACACCCAGTGCAGCAGCATGGCAGCAAGCCCAATCTGTTACCAGCCTTCCCTTCCCTAAACACCCACCAAATGCTGTTGTTTACCAGACACAAGATGACATCTTCCCTGAGCCCTGAAGTAAAGCTGCCCCCAAGAGCCCACTCTGGCACCCCAAGGTGTTGTGGAGCTCCCTCGGAGGCTCCCAGGTCTGTGACATCCAGCAGGCATAGGACTGAAACACGCTTCCTCCCTGAAGACTGGGACACACAGAAAAAGATGGGCCCTGAAGGTCAATGGCGGCAAACAAGCGGGGCTGGTGCTTCCAGTGGCTGGCCCTCTCCTGCCAGGATGGCTCTGCCAGGTGCCATCTGACACCTGCTCCTGTGGCTCCAGGAACACTTAGCACCTGCTGACTGGGTGGGGGCTGATCACAGTACCTCACCACTGTCCAGGTGTTGAAGCCCAGTGCCCACACATCATCTCATTACCTCACCAAAGAACCCTATTAAGGTGCCTCTGTTATGCTGTTTACAGATGGGAAAGCTGGGTCTGAGAGAAGGGCAAACCGCCTGAGGTGACACTGCTTTGAGGACCAAAGTCTGGATGTGGAGCCTGGCCCCCCTGGTTGGTCCATGGCTCCAGGCACTAGGGAAAGGAGCTATGCCCCTGAGCAAAGGGGCTACCTTGTGCCGGCAGGACTGAGTCAAGTGCCGCCCTGAGGCCTCGTGGGGCAGCCAGCAGAGCCTACCAGACACCCTGCTGTCTGTGGCCCAGGGTGAGGTCTGTCTTTAGGGAACATCCACAGTTGCAGCAAGAGCCAGTGCCAGGACCCTGCTCCATTGCTTAGGTCTCCTTACATTTAAGCAAGGAAACGTGGTGTGGTGTTCTCAGCAGGAAAAGAACACAGCCCAACTAAAAAATGACGATGACCACAAATAGCTAACATTTACTGAGGGCCTCCCGAGGGTCAGCTACCTTAAAAGCACTGGACACACATTTGCTCTTTTAATCTTCACATCAATACAGTAAAATAGGTACTATTATGGTTCCCCCTTACAGATGAGGTCGCCAAGGCCCAGAGATGACAGGAACCTGCCCAAAGATACACGAGGGTGTAAGTAGTAAAGTTGTGATTTGCACACAGACAATGACTCAGAGTCTGTAGCACAACAGAGGTGTGAGGTGTTCAGATAAGGAAATAGGGCCCTTGGTGAGAGAAAGGTCTAGCTTTTATTACCTAACTGTCAGTGAGCATATCATGATAAAAGTCACTGCAAACTCTTCTCATTCAGTTAAGTGATTATGATCAGCTCATGCCATACTCAGGGCCAAGTCTGTCTTCTAAAGTCCTTCCTGCTTCGGAAGCAAAAGCAGAATGCACATGCTCGAGGAGAAGGCCTGGAGCTGGTAGTGAGGGCATCCGAGTGGCTCTGGCAGCCATAGCTGCCCATGGCAAGGTCAGTGTGACAGCGAGCATACCACCGTTTCCCTCCGTGGGGCCAAAGGCACAGAGCTAGTCTTGTGCTGCAGTGAGCCAGTGGCACATTTAGGAGGCAGCAGGTCAGATTTGTTCCTGGGTGCTCTAAACACCACGTGGGTGTCCAGTGGCATGAACAGGGCTAGTGCTCAGGGCCACACCACAGAGAGGACTTGTAAGTCCCCAGAGTCTGCTCAAGCGACAGTGGGTGTGACCCAGGCCAGCAGTCCATGGATAGGGTAGCTGGGATAAGGTCCTGGCTGGGACCTGAAGGCCCACCCTTGGCAGGGGGCACTGGCAGCAGCAGTCCCTATCCCATCAGCTGAGCAGGACGGATCTCTGCCTGTCTCTCCCTGGAGGAGTGGGCCTTGGTATCATCAGGTGCCCTGGGCACAGCGACAGAATCATCTGACCCCATGTGAGCATGGGGCCACCAGCATGGCGGCGGGCTTTGCGGGGGAACCTACTGTGCCTTTCTCCAGCTATCCTCCCACCCTCAAGAAGTCCCTTTGAAAGAAATGTCTTTATAGCTGCAAGAGCTACCGCTGTGGAGTCCAGTGAAGCCCATAGAACAGTGGAGTGGCTCGGATCCAGGAGCAGCTGCTGCTCCTTGAGGGCTCTGCACACCCCTGTGACTTTGACCTGTAGAAATAGGAGGTGAATTTGGAATATTCTACCCAGAGAACTATTCTGAGAGGCCAAACTGGTGTAGCCACCACTCCAGGCCACCTGAAGGCCAGAAACAATTTAACAATTTGCAACTTGCATTTTAGTATCATTTCTTTAAACAAGATTCACTCATATTATACAAATACCCCTGTTTTTCATAACCAGTTCTAACCTCACCCGGTTCTAAGCAGACTTCACTTCTCACAGCTTCTAATGCTATTTTCTACATATCCAAACTTTAAGGGGTACAATTTCTCTGCTGTGTCCCACTTTTTAAATGAAGAATGAGGACCCTTTCATGATGGGTAGATGTTGTGGTTGTGGCTATTTCTAAATAACCAGGACAACTGTTAGAGAGCCCATCACCGGGGGCTCATCAGCAGGCAGGTTGCACACATCCTCAACTCTTCCCAGGCCAGGGACCGTCTACATACAGCGGAGGAAGTTAGTGACTTCTTGCCATTTCTCTCATGCAACTGTGCTAGCCAGTCTCCCAGATGCCCAATTCCCCGTATCAGCTAGCCCGGCCTTTCCACATGGCATTCTGGGGAAAACAGCAGCCCACAAGATACTAACAGGCATTACTCTTAGAAGAAATCTGTGGCCAAGTAAGCTGGAAAACAGAAATAGAAATACAAAGTTAAAAGGGTGTATTTTCCACAGGAATTCCCAGAGCCTTCTCTGGGAAAATGCTTTGCGCACTGTGAAAATGAGGAGGGGCCTAGTATGCAGGCTTCCCAAATGCATTTGACCAAAGAATACTTTTTTTCCAGAAATTTCACATCTCAAGATTCCATAGAACTTCCATGGAGACTGTTACGCTAACCACTACTGTACAAAAGTTAAACCCACGTACACACCTAAATGCAGTTTTCTCTACCATGTGGGGCACTCAGATCCTTGCAGTCCTTGGCATTACAAACCATCTCCCTTCAAAGTGGAAGCAACTACTTGCTGAGTGCTTCGGCAGCCTTCCCCCTGCTCTGGGAAACGGTTCCACTGGATATGCGACTGTGCCAGGCACACAACAGCCAGTGTGAACACCTAGAACCAGCCAGACCTAGTACAGGGTGACCGTTTTCAACAACTTTTTACAAGGCAAAAAACGAGGTCGGGAACCAGAATGTCTGAGTGTAATCCAAGGTTCAATTTAGTTAATGTGAATAGTGGGGAGACAATGTGGAGTGAACAGCCTTCGGTTTGTAGGGCCTTCTGTCCCCAGAGCAGCCTCAAGAACCTGGGCCAACCTCACACTTCCCTACTGGCAGGTTTCAGGCAGGTGAGACTTTAGGGCAAGCAGGAGCAGCATCGTGATGGCAATGTCCTCTGTAAGGATGCCCGGGGACAGCCCTCTCCCTGGAGAAAACCTACTCCCAACTAGGACTGCAAAGTCAACGCCCTGTTTGCCCTTTCCCAGGATGCTTGGCATTGCTCGCTGCTCAAGTCTGGCAGGCATTGTCCCGGAAGGTGAGCTGGGAGAAAGTGACTTGACACAAAGGTGGGCTCCAGCCCAGGGACTCTACGGCGATTCTTTTCTCTTCAGCTCTGGGGTGTGCTCAGTGAAACGAGACACATGTTCATCTGCTCTCTCCCCACCAGCTTTTTGTCAACAAAGACACAATTGTTAATGCTGTTGGGGCATCGCATGACATCCACCTCCTGAAGATTGACAATCGAGAAGATGAGCTGGTGACCAGGATCAACTCTTGGTGTACAAACTTAGTGGACAAGGTGGGTACATATCACCCTGCTCTAGCAGGCTGCACCAGTTTTTCTAGCTATCAGTCAGAGTGGAAATCTTCCTGGGACAGTATATACTATTTGCAGTAAGAAATGATGTAAAATTAGGAGTTGCAGAATTCCACACTGAGAACTCAGTATTAGCCCACCAGACTTTAAATTACTTTCCTTTTCCCCAAACAAGACTCAGTAAAAGATACTAATCAACCATCTGACAAAAGGACATTGGGTTGGTCTTATCCCTCAGATCCACAAGGATGAGATCACCAGGAACCGCAAGCGAGTGAAGGAGATCAATCAGTACATCGACCACATGCAGAGTGAACTGGACAACATGGAAGGCAGTGACATCATAGACTAGAGTGTCTGCCCAGAGGCTTCCTTTTGCAAACATAGCACTGGGTCCAACCAGAACACACCCTTCACTGACCACCTCAGAAGTTATGGGGATTTTTCAACCCATGACCCTAACAACACCATTCTTCCCCAACCCCTGGAAAACTTCCAAATGTAGAAAAAAATACAGGATTTATGCCACTGTTTCTCCATTGTTTAAAAAAAAAATAGCCAAAATTCACATTAAGATGAGCAGTAGAAAAAGACAAAGACAATGGCGGCTGGCCTTGCAGTTAACCAGTCTACTGAGCGTGACTCCCAAGGGGGGCTGCCCCTAGGCTAGACTAGCAGCTGTGGCCTTATGTCAGCTGTGGCCCAACGCCATCTCCTCTGACACATCCAGGGCAGGCAGCTGGCAGCAGCCATTGGAAACTGTCATGGACCAAGACCTTCTCCCCTCCAGGTGCTGAGGAGCAAAACAGGGGAGCCCCCAGTCCCCAGCACAGCACGAGGGTCTGGGCCAGCCCACAAAGGAGCTCCAACCTTGACTGCAGGGACCTGAGGGCCCTCTGGAGGTAAAGGGTATAGGCTGGCCCTCCCATGCCACCTCTGCAGCCTGAGCTTCCTCTATGAAGTGGGATGTGACAGTGCCTCCTCTGGGCCAAGGGGTCATGGGAAGCACATGGATAGTGTGGCTAGTGCCCCACCAAAGAGGTGATGCCTCTTCATTACTTAGGTGAGTCAGGGCGGGCGGCTCAGGGAGGCTTCACTGCCTGCTGCGCAGACCCTTCCTGCTTCCCTTCCACTGGGCCGTGGCACCAGGAGACTGCACCAGAATGTGCCCAGGGGGTAAACTGCCTGACCTTGGTAACACAAACACATAGGAATGATGGGGAAAAGGGGAGGCATAAATGAAAACAGGGCTTAACAGGTTTCTAGGGCAGAAAAATCTTTAATAAAATCAGGGTTGAAAGTCCTTCTTACACCTATCTCCCTCACCCACTGCTGGCTGGGGCACCCAGCCTGGACCGGAGCTGACCTCCAGACAGCTGCACTCTGCATTCTAGGGTGCCGCTGGCTGAGAGCCCCAGGGTTGTGGGGAGCCTGCAGCTATGCAGCCTCTGTCTTGCTGGGTCTGTTGCTTGCGCCTCACTCCTGCAGGAGCTTGTGCTTGACCATGGTGCTCTCAGAGCAGAGGTGGACAAAGAGGGTTCCAGCGGCCGTGCGCGCCCGCAGCTCCTGCAGCTCGTACTCATGGGCCCACTCAATGTTGCCCCATTTCTGGATCTGAGGTGAGGACAAGATGTGAGCTGGGTGACTGGCTAATGAGAAATGCACAGAGGAGGCAGAAGGAAGGTACACTGGTGGGCAAAGCAGGCCCCCATGCTCCACGATGAGGAGGGTCTGACAGGGCTGTGGTCCAGGCCATGGGCCAGAAACCAAAATCACACGTGTACTTCCCCTGAGGGCCTGACCCCTATGCTGCTCTTCTCGCAAAGGTGACTGGCATGAAGTGGCCTGTAGAATGTCATCCTTTAGGAGCTGTCTAGCAGGCTGGGCTGCATGTGCCTGTGTGGGTGGGGTAGATAAATCACAAGGTCAATGTCACTGACACCTGGGGGGCTGCAGCGCTGCAGAGGCCTTTCTGCTCTGCACATGGGGCAGGGTTGCAGACTCTCTCTCCAGGACTCTGACCTGGAAGGAGGAACCCAGGATGCACAGTGTGGTTGTCGAGATGTCAGCGCAACTCCAACCTGGCCCTGCTGGCTCCTCCCTGGACAGGGTCACCTCCCAGGACACGTGGCCTCGCTGCCCCAGCCCATCCAGGAACTCAGAATCTGCCACACTATACAAGCATTTCTGGGTAGCCCAGTCTCAATCTGGATACCTGTGATATGTCATACTTTCAGAGAACTCACATATGTGATCCAGGTTACACCCCGTGTGGTGTTGGTTTGAGCCTGAAGTTCAGAGCATGACAGCCTGGCTTAGGTCCCACAGTTGAAAGCAGACCCCAGACTGGAAACCAGGTCTCCTGGCTCCCCACCTCCCACAACCCTCACACCCCCACAGGTCACCCCTCTTCCCATTCAATCATTCTTAACATCCAGAGGATAGCTAGCCTCTTTTGTGACACAGAAACACATTTTCCCCTGGCATTTTTCCAGGCCAATGATTAGATTGACTCAGGAAATACTGTCATTACAGAAGGGTTTTCATTGTGCTAGGAGCCAATTTGTGATAGTATTCAGCCTTCTGAGGCTGGAGAAATAAGTAACGACAAAAAGACTGCAGAGGACGTCAAAATTCTGAGTTAAAAATGCCAACAACAGTGTAGCAAAACCTTATTAATTCTGAGTCACTAAATCAGAACTCATCCGTTCAGCAGCCACCTGTGCACCTGCTGCCAGCCGTGTGACCCACTGCGTGAAAGCCACAGTGTGAAGGCTTAGCATACCTGCAGCCCCAGTCACTGAGGCAGGGCTCAAAGGCTCTAGAACTGCCCACAGACCTCCACTTGCAGCTGGGGCAAAGGCTGTGGCCTGCTCCCAACCCTGGCTCCAGCATTTTCCAGGGGTGTGACCCATGCCTCAGTTTCCTCCTGTGTAAAATGGGGGTGACAACAGCTCACACCTGACCTGGCTGTTGAGGAGGGGATGCGATGAGGGAAGAGCCGAGCACAGGGAGGGAACACAGCGGTGGTGTTCACTACTCTTATTTTGTTTACTACTACTTGCCAATACTCTTACTGACCCTTAGTTTTGGCTTCCAGATGAACAGGACAGTAATAAAGAACAAACTTAAATAAAAACATTTCCAATGGGTTCACCTTCCCATCACACACAGTCTGAATCAGGGAGGGGAAAGTGAGGACTTGGGGTGCCCACCTCGGATCACTGGCCACACCTCACCTGGTACTCCTCCTCCAGACGTGATAGTAGCACGGCCTGCTCCACTGTCAAGCGCAGGTCAATCAGGCCCAACGTGAGCACCATGGACTTGAGCTGGGTCACTACAAACTCAATCCCTGCAGGGACACAAGCCAGGTCAGGACCCAGGGCTCCCCTACCCCAAAACAGGGCATTTGCCAGACCTATTCCTTGCCTGTCCCTGCAGCCCTGTACGTGCAAAGGCACCAGTGGGGGAGAAGGGTCACCAGAAGCATCTGTGCCCATTCTGCATTCTTCTCAAAGAGCACTCTGTTGTCCCTTGGGGGTGATCCCTCTGTGGCTCCTACCTGGGTGGGCACATGATCCAGACCTGGCCCATCAGCACATTCCACCCCCGGCCCAATGACTGGGTCATGGATGGGCATGTGACCTGCACTGGGCCAATGAGCTGTGGACTCGAGACTGAAGGAGAGGAGGACAACTTCCTCCAGGAAGGGTGTGGGCCTGCTATCTCCTCCCACTGAGTACAGGTCTGGCATCAGAGCCAGCCCCTAGAGTGTTCCTGTGACTCTCTGGACTTCTGACACCCAAAGCAACCACCCACCCTCTGAGGCCCACAGGAAGTACCACACGTACCTTGTAGGGCCCACATGTTGTAAGATGCCAGGTGGCTGATGAACACCTCCCGAGTCCTGGTTGGGATGCTGGGCCCCATTATGCTGGTGGAGCAGCCAATCTCCACACCATATCTGGAAGGAAAGGGCTTTAGCCTGTCCCTGTGGTGCTAGGTAGCTCAGCTTTTGCCCCAAAGCAAAGCCCTAAACTGCTGAGCGTGTGTGCACCCCTTAAGGGATTCTGGGATTCTGGGAGCAACTGCCAATGTAATCAGTGGGCTCCTGACCTAATAACTTTGTGTCACCCAAGAGCAAAGCCAGAGGTATCAAGAAACTGCCCTAAATGAAGGCATGGATGGTTATGTCATGCAAGCAGGGGGTTCACTTATGTGCAGCTCTCTAGAATCTCCATCCAAAGCATGAACTACCTGCTTTTTAAATCTTTTAAGAAAGTTTTTCATATTTAATACCATATACAATTTCTTCTAAATATTGTTTCTTTACAATCATATTTGCTATGACCTATATCATTCAACGATTTGTTTTCCAAATATTTACTAAGCCTCTCCTATATTTTGGTCTGGGATGTAGCTTCAAGAAGGATACATTTTCAAGAACAATCATAGCATAAAACATAGGAAAAAACTAATAGAGCAAAAACAATTTTTGTAATTTTCTTTCACATATCACTGGTTTTTCCCATTGGTTAGAAATATTTTCACAGAAATTTCTAATAGTACAAATGGAACACAGGAAATACCCAAGTTTTTCTGTAAACTATTAAGGATGAGAAATCTCCACTGCCACAAAAAGCTGACGATTTTGTACCACAGCAAAAATCTCCAGGCATCTAAATTATTGTTGTATTTCATTAGATTCCAAAATGATACTGTATCTTCACAGCTCTCACACAGTATTGCAGTTGTTACATTTTATTTGATCCTTTTGCTCACTGACTATACCTTTTACTACAAGACCCAAGAATGCCTGGCACACGATGGGCACTCAGGAAATACATACAAGTGAGACAGATGGGCATCATTCCTGTGAAAAATGCAGTGTCAGAACTACTCTGTGAGCTTACAAAATACTGTGCTCAAGGTAGAAGTCCTCCCAAACTCCCATAGAAATGAAATGAAACTGAATTTTCTTTGTTACTGCATCAATAGTCTATGTAATCATGCACAAAGGAGTTCTCCATCTAAGGGAAATTCCTAGAAACCTTACATCCACAGGATAAATGTCATCTGTAACTTTGTATACAGCTGTCCAGACTTTTCTCCATGTGTGTACATATCATCCATGCTACTCTGTGATTTAGTTTAATGCCATAACAATGGTGACCACGATAAAGATGACAACTGCCAAAATTTGAGCATTTACTGTGTGCCAAGCAGGATGCCATGCTTCCCTTCATTTACTCTTCACAACACTGGAAGAGATATGAGCCCCACTCACAGACAAGGAAGCTCAGAGAGATCAAGTGACTAGCCCAAGGTCACACAGTCAATTGTGGTGGAACCAGAGCCCCATTTCTATAATCAGCACAATGTGCCCTGGTGGCAAGTGGCTGAAATTAATTTGAGAAGCATTTTATTCCAAGATGGCCCTATCCCTGAACATGTGGAAGGTTCTAAATCCCACAGGTGCTCTGAACTCAGGAAGTCCACTAGCTAAGGGCTCTGTTGTCCAGCATGGCCCCTGGATCCCAGCAGCCACCCAGCACTAGGGGGCTGCACATCTTACCTCTCTTCGGCCCATGCTATGATTGGGTCCCACTCGTTCTTTTGAAGTTCCACTAATGTCTCTGGCTCTTCCACCCTGTAGCTAATTCATTGCAAAAATCACCTTCATTAATAAAAAAGTATAGTTCCTTCATTCAGTGACAGACAATGGAAAACCAAAAGGCAACATATGGAAACTTCTCCACACATCCTCTCCCAGCCCTACAAGTCTCGCCTCTAAAGCCGTGGTTCTCAAAGTGTGGCCTTGAGGCCGGCAGCAGAGAATCTCACTTGGGAACTTGTTAGAAATGAAAATTCTCAGGCCCTACCTGACACCTATGGAAAACATAACCTCTGGGGGTAGAGACTAGCAATCTGTTTTAATAAGCCATCCAGGGGGTTCTACTATAGGCCTGGGTTTGAGACCACTGTCCTAAATGTCGCATTATTTGACAGGTCAAGGTTTGCAGCACTAATACTGTAACCTCAGGTCCACACCCACTTGATTTTAGGATGATCTGCCAGAAGCTCAGTCACTGCATCCCCACCTATTCTTACCCCTCCCAAGACTGTGCCCTGGCCACAGAACAAATGGCCTGTTTGCACCTAATGATCCACCTGCCTCCTGGCTATAAGTGCAGCTGCTGGCACAGAGGCCTGACAGCACCCAACGCTAGGCTGTGTTTTGACCAAGAGTCAGCTGAGGTGAGCTGAGCTGCAAGGCCTCATGGGAAGGGAACCCAGTGAGCACAGGCGATGTGAGCAGAACAGAGAATACAGCCCCTGAGTGCGCAGGAAAAGCTGGGCTGCTGAGAGGAGTGGATGACAGGCAGGCTCTCCCTCCTCCCCACAGGGAAACAGGGAGGACCTCTGGAATCTCAGCTTCTGGCTCCCATCGCTGGTGGCCCCCATCTGATTCCTGTATAGTTCTTAAGAAAAGTCTTTTTATCTGAGCTAGGCTGAATGAGTTTCTGTTCACTATGAGCAAGTAGTCCCTAACACAAATGGAGGTGACTTTGGAACCAGCAATTCAGAGTCTGGCACCCTTCGGGCTGCCTCTCTAGAAGTACGTTTGCCCCTCTCATCCCTCAGGGGATAGCTCAGGGTCCCAGGGCATGTGGGCCAGCAGACATGGTGCTGCTCAACCCTCCAGTTTCTCCAACTTTGCTCGAGCATCACTGGCCAATTAGCTGAAGAACACAGACACAGGAGAGAATTCAGAAGGAGCAGCCAGCCTGAGTATCAACACCTGACCATTTCTGTGTCTAAGCTCACAGCAATGATGAAGATTTCTATATGAGAATGTGCCAGTGGGCAGAAGTCCAGGGCCAGAGGCCCCACCAAGACGGTCGTCGGCAAGTGACCGCCTTGGTCCTGGGCCCTGCAAAAGTTGCACATGCCACCCCACCCCACCCTACCCAGACCAGGGGAAAGATGCAGGGCCACAGGAGTGCCTGGAGCCCTGGCACTGTTGCAGCCCAAGGAGTCTTCCATCCTAGGGGTTTGAAGAGCAGCTAAGTGCTGGTGTCAAGTAGACCACCTTCCCTGCCCTGTGAGATAATAGCCATCTGCCTCTTCCACTGACAACTGCCTGGGCAAAAGAGGCAAACGGCCCAAGGAACTCACAAAACCCAAGGGGAATGCCCATCTCAACGCCAATTACCAGATGGTGTCGGTGTCCAGAAACTTCACAGCCGCCTGGATCAGCTGGTCCTTGTTTCTCTGGGTTGGGTTGTCTAAAGACGTGTTGCACAGTGTGGTCTGAATCAAAAGGCAGAGAGCCCTGTAGCCACCCACCAGGCCAGGGCAAGAGCACTGTGTTCCTGAGGACATGGCACCCAGCACACAACCACATGAGAGCCAGACAGTGATGCCCGGGGTACGGAGTGCCAACATGCAGCCCTGCCCGAACGGTCCCACAGCCTCAGCTGTCACGCATCTCTGAGAGCTTGCTGCAGCCAGGCTCCGTGCCACACAGTGTGCAACGGCTCCGGGTCTCCTGCTCTTCACTGCCAGGCTCTGCTGTGTTTAATTTAATCTCACAACAGTTATTATAACCATTTCAGAGATGGGGAAAGTGAGGCCCAGAGCAGTCAAATTCAGCAAGTGGGACATGAAGGCCTCCCTGGAACTCCAATCTGACTGAAAGCTTACTAGCTGGCTCCTTGAATACCTTAGAAAGCAGGGGAACAGAACAGCCAAACCAGGAGCACAGTTATTTTTCCAGATCCAACTTATCCATAGCAGGGTGTTTAGATGTTCTAATGATGAATTTGGAACCGTTACCCTAACTTCATTAGACAGTCAAAGGACTGGCTGTGGAGATGTTGAAGAAGCCCCTCTAGGTCTGCATGTCAGGGTGGAACCAGTGATGACCAGGATGACAGCACTAATGCCAGCGCTGACTGCACTCGCTCTGCTGCCACCCAACCCTGAGCATGACTCCGGGTAATGTTAACACTCACCTTACACCGGTGGGGAACATGGGGCTGAGGAGGAACAGTAACTTGCCCAATGTGGCAGTTTGGAAACTGCAGAGCCTGGAGTTTAGCTAAATTCCCCAGTTGGCTGGAGTGCCTCAGTGAACCACCCATGTGGGGAGCCTCCCTGGATCCAGAGAGTTGTCCTCACCGACCCCATCTACTCCCTTGGGTTCCTGCACTCACTCAACCAATACTTACGAGTGCCAACTAAACCACCTGACAGGGGCTGGCTATGCACTAAGAGGTGGCCCTGCCCTTCTGTGTTTACAAGGAGTGGGGCAGACAGGCAGTAAGTGTGTAAACATAAAGCAGATGATTACGAATTGTGTTAAGTGCTGACGAAACAAAGGAATGGCTGCTGAAATAAAAAATTAGAGGCTGGGCAGCCAGGGAACATGATGTCTGTCCTGAGACCAGAGGAAGAACCAGCCACCCAGCATGGCATTCTTAACAGGTGAATGCAGGGGGCAGGGTAACGATGAGAGTGTTTGTCACATCCCAGGAGACACGTGTGGCTGGTACTATCCGAGTGCCTTAATGGAATTTGGAAAGGGGTTTCAGTTTCTGCCAGGAGTGGGCATCAGGGTATAGGTTTGTGAACTTGTTACCAGGTGCATGGTGTAGAACTTGATGGTGTCCTGCTGGGAGTCCCATTCAGTGGCCACTGCAATTGCCAGGGCCTCGTTGGGGACAGTAAAGAGCTTGGCTTGGGGAGTTTTCAGCTTCCGGTGGTCCAAGGTTATCTCAAAGCCACCTTGAAAGATCAAATGAAAACTTCTCAGGGATGGTTAAGTCGAATCAAGTGACCACTCCTATATTTAGATACTTGAATTGGTGCAAAGACAACTCTGAACTCCTTCTTGGAGGACTTAGAGAGACATATTCCACAAAAACGCAAAGAGTCATCTCACCGCTGAACTGACTGGAGATGAAAAATGTTTCTACTCATTTACAGAAAAAAAAAAAGGAAAAGAGGCAGTCAGAATTTCAGATACTCACCTTCACCCTGTGTGATGCTGACATTCTGATAAAACCTCTTCCTTTCTGTGAGAAAGATTTTTCAAAAAGGCAGTTTAAAATAATGTCAAGACAGCTAAGGCAGCGACAAGACCAGCTTGTATCATACTGCTAATTCTGACTGATTGGCCTGATTTTCCTATCTCTCGTCAAGGTCTGCCCTGCTCTGTGGGCATAGTCAACAGCTTCTGATGAAAACTGGGGGGAGGAAGGCCTTCACTCTCCAGGGTAAAGGAGGGGCAGGACAGGACAGGCTGTCCATGCCCCCGCCAGCCCCCAAGCCCAGGGATAGTCTGATCATATAGCATCATGAAGCTGCAGGCTGACCGGACAGACTTTTCTAGCATCTTCTGCTTCTAAGCATACTCCCCAATTCGGCCCTCACCAGCCCTGCCCCCATGCCAGCACAATGTGCCCAAATCTAAAGATGGTGGAATGCAATAAAGCCAGAGGCTCATTTCAGGTAAGAGTCTGATACCTCTAAGAAGGCCTGAGTGCAAAGCCAGTGTGAACGTGCATCTGCGTGTGTGTGTGTGTGTGCACAGGCAGTAAGGAGAGATGCCAGGAGCATTTCCCACCCCCTCTATCCAATTAATTAACCTAATTAACCAGCTTGGCTGGTTATTCAACAGGAACTGCAAACATTTCCTTTAAGAAGAGGGAAAATCTGTGTTCTGTGCTACCTAAAAATAACTTGAATAAAATCTTACATGAAAATGTAAACAAATTCCCCCTCTTTTACCGGGAGGGATTAAAACTAGGAGTACTTCATAAGCAATCATGCAGATCCCTTCAACTAACGAGGAACATACAGGTCACAGTTTTGGAAGCTATTGCCCATAGCCCAGCCTTTACCACCTGTAATAAAACCTTCATCCATTCACACACTCATTGGGCACTGCCTCCAGTCTCTGGCTGAAGTGAGTTAATCGAAATAATGATGCAGCAAATGGAAGAAAAGGAGACTCATTCATCTGTTAGTGCTTTTTAACTTCTTCCAATGCTTTTCTTAAAAAAAAAAACTTAGCCAAGTTTAAGATAAATTTTATAATTCAAATAGACTATGAAAATCAGGAGAACTTGGTTTGTGTGCATGGGATGGTAAGAGGTAACAGAGGGGATATCTGCTCTTACTCCAAACATTTGTGTTCTCATATTTTCTGCATCATATGTTTTTAATAAATCTCACTTGCTACCATAATGCTTACACAAAGAGGGCCCAAAACTGCATTTCCATGGTTGCACTTACTAAACTAAGGCCCAGACTGTTTTCCCCAAAAAGAGATTTGTATGCCTACTATGTATCAGGTACTGGTTTTTTTATTAAGGTATTATTGATATAAACTCTTATGAAGGCTTCACATGAAAAACAATGTGGTTACTACATTCACCCATATTATCAAGTTCCCCCCCACGCCCCATTGCAGTCACTGTTCATTAGTGTAGTAAGATGCCAGAGTCTCTATTTGTCTTCTCTGTGCTACACTGTCTTCCCCATGATCCCCCCCACACCATCTGTGCCAATCATAATGCCCCTCAATCCCCTTCTTCCTCCCTCCCCACCCCTCCCCTTTGTTAACTGTTAGTCCCTTCTTGGAGTCTGAGTCTGCTGCTGTTTTGTTCTTTCAGTTTTGCTTCATTGTTATACTCCACAAATGAGGGAAATCATTTGGTACTTGTCTTTCTCCACCTGGCTTATTTCACTGAGCATAATATCCTCTAGCTCCATCCATATTGTTGCAAATGGTAGGATTTATTTGTTTCTTATGGCTGAATAGTATATTCCATTGTGTATATGTACCACCTCTTCTTTATCCATTCATCTACTGATGGACAGTTAGGTTGCTTCCAATCTTGGCTACTGCAAGTACTTCAAATAAAACAGCAAATAAAACAGACAAAAAAGCACTGTCTCTGGAATTTTTTTTTTATCAGATCTGGCCACTGAGATGATGCTGTATTATTATAGCACCATTTCCCACCTTTGTCTGAAATAAAATTGTAATAGTGATCCTCTCACACATTTGAAGCCAAAATAGGGAGCTTACAGCACTTCAGTACTTTTAAATTTCCCTACTTCACATGCTATGTAAGCCACATTCAGACGGCAGATGAGACATGAATCTGAGGCCTCCTCGCAATATGTCTGTAGGCCTGGATCAAGGCATCCAGACTACATCCAGTATGTTCTGATGCCTGGGCTGAGAAGCATGTCTAAAGCAAAATCAGACAGGAAGTGGGAAGAGCTCTGAGAGCTGACTCATCACTGGGGGAAGAATCGGGCTTGGTGGCAGGAAGTGCCAGCAGAGAGCATTCTAGCACACAGCCCAACGTGGCCCCAGGACAGGGCCCAAAGACCTGGGGCCCCGGAATGCACTTTGGGGCAGACACTGACAGCAACCGGCTGAACCTTCGAAAGCTGCCAGGGCAGTGAGTTTTCCCACTAGGGAAGTTTTTTTCTCTGCATTACTGTTCAGACCTCAGTTCCTCCACCCTGGTCAGGTCAGCCTCTGTGTCTGATTAAGAAGGGAAAACTGGAAGGGAGTGGGATGGATGGACAGGTGAGGCTTAGTCAACCAAAATCGCTCAAAACAGGAGTAAACCATGCAGAAAAAAGAGATTGACAGCATGGCAAAAGGAGCACCAGGCTGCTGGACTCAGACAAGGGCGGCCCGCATGCACGCATGGCTTAGACAGGTGCTCTCCTGAATGCGGCCAGCGCATGGAGGGGCCCACTTCAGCCTGGAACAGACTTTGGTGAGGAGAAATCCTACTCCAGGAAGTGAGGTAAATCCTGGGAAGAGGCCTCAAAGCTCCCCCTGCCCTTGAGGCACTTGCTATCCAGTGGGAAGACCAAAACTAATCCAACTGAACAATAAAGTAACAATGATGGCAAAGTACAGGGAACACTGGAGACACACACCAAGGGAAGCCTAACCTCACTGTGGGCCTCAGGCAGACCTCCAAGCAGTCAGCTTTCATCTGAGACCCAAAGAAGAGGCAAGAGTTGGCCCAGATACTGATGATTCGTTTTTAGAAGGCACATGTATAGGAGTTTTCAGCAGAATAAACAGCTTACACAAAGGTCCTGGACCTCAACAGAGCACAGCTATGAAGAACTAGAAAGACAGTCAGGACAAGACTGTAGCTATTCCAGCAGAGGATTGTTAGAGATGCCCAGAGAGGGCTGGGGAGGACAGGTCTAGGGGAGGGGGCCGGACAGGTCACAGTAAGGAAGGCAAAGGGAGCCACACAGGCAGTTAGGGGTTCACATAGGCAGACAAGAACAGGACCTGGGAAATTCATTTGGTAGGATTCACACTCCCCAACAATGTCCAGAAGTTCTTCACCTGGGCCCTCAAAGGTCTTGGGTCACATAAGAGAAATCATGAGGCCAGGAGCCTGTGAAATACCCATACTCCCAGTGAGTACAAGGCTAGCCGACAGCAGTGGGGACCCTGTCTTTAAAGATGAAACAGCCCGGCCTTGTAGGATCACACAGAACTTGGGTCTATTTTTAGTATGCACCACTGAGTGCCTTTTAAGTGACAATTTTGTAGACTATGTAGATATAAAGAAATGACTTTGTAAAAAAGTGTTGACTTTTCAAAGCTGGCCATAAGGAAACTGGCTTTATAAGCAGAGAACAACTTTAAAAAACTGCTCATGGCAAGAGTACTAGAGTGTAAATTAATATTCATTGGGTCGCTTTTTCCTGCAAGGTTGCTTCAATTCACATAAAGAAATACGCTGTTTTCATCAGTAGATGAATGGATAGAGAAGAGGTGGTACATATACACAATGGAATATTATTCAGCCATAAAAAGAAAACAAATCCTACCATTTGCGACAACATGGATGCAGATAGAGGGTATTATGCTCAGTGAAATAAGCCAGGCAGAGAAAGAGAAGTACCAAATGATTTCACTCATCTGTGGAGTATAACAACAAAGCAAAACTGTAGGAACAAAACAGCAGCAGACTCACAGAACCCAAGAAGGGACTAGGGGTTACCAAAGGGGAGAGGTGGGGAAGGGATGGAGAAGGGGATTAAGAAGCATTATACTTAGCACACACAATATATCTAGATTATGGGGAAGGCAGTCCAGCAGGGAGAAGACAAATAATGACTCTGTAACATCTTACTACACTAATAGACAGTGACTGCAATAGGGTGGCAGGGGCGACTGTAATATGGATGAATGTTGAAACCACAATGTTGCTCATGTAAAATCTTCATAAGATTGTATATCAATGATACCTTAATTAAAAAAATAGAAATAGGCTGTTTGCTATGTCACTTCCTCTTACACTCCTCCTCCTATCCCAGGCTTCAGGGTCCAGTGAGTGATCTTTCTACCAGCCTCAGTTTCTGGGCTGGCCTTTGCTTTGAAAGACTCAAAGCCTCAGAACTACAACCCCCGCAGTGCACCAAGAGAGGAAGTGCCTTCTCAGAGCGGTCTCAACACGTTTATCTTTTTTAACAGTGCCATCTGGTGGGCCTCAAGCCTTAAAGCTAAATTCTGACTGGGGTATCCCTCCGTCCATATTCCTAACACAACTCTAACCAGCTGTTTTCAGGTATCAACATTCTTCAGGCTAACTATACAAAGAATTCTTACAACTCGATAATAAAAATACAAAGACCCAATTAAAAAAAAAAAGTCAAAGGATCTGAACAGACATTTCTCCAAAAAAAATGTACTATGTCCAATAAGCACATGAGAAGATGATCAACAACATTAGGGAAATGCAAATCCAACCTTGGAGACACCCCTTCACACCCACCAGGATGGGATATAATAAAAAAGACTCCAACAGGCACATGAAAAGATGCTCCACATCAATAATCATCAGGCAAATACAAAGCAAAACCACAATGAGGTATCACCTTACACCATTTGGAATGGCCACTATCCAAAAAATGGAAATAACAAGTGTTGGCAAATATGTAGTGAAAGGAAGCCCTCCTACACTGTTGATGGGAATGTAGATTGGTGCAACTGCTGTGGAAAGCAGTATGGAAGTTCCTCAAAAAACTAAAAATAGAGAACACCATTTGGGCCAGTAATTCCACTCCTAGGAATTTACCTGAAGAAAACAAAATCTCTGATTTAAAAAGGTATATGGGCACCTACATTTATTGCCACATTATTTACAGTAGCCAAGATATGGAAGCAACCAAGTGCTCATCAATAGATGAATGGATAAAGAAGACATGGTACATGTACACAGAGGAATATTATTCAGCCATAAAAAAGAAAGAAATCCTGCCATCTGTGACAACATGGATGGACCTAGAAGGTATTATGTTAAGTGAAATAAGCTAGGTGGTCAAAGACAAATACCATATGATTTCACTTATTTGTGGAATATAAAAACAAAACAAAACAAAATGAACAAAAACACAGTAGACTCAGACACTGAGAAGTGACTGTTGGTTGCTATGAGGGAGGGGTTAGGGTGGGTGGCTAGGGAGGTTGAGGGGCATAAAGAGGCACAAAAATCTCAGTCATACTATAAGTTGGTTACAGGGATGGTAGTGCACCATGGAGAATACAGCCAATGGTTCTGGGACATTTTCCTATGTTGATGGATAACAACTGCACTAGTTGGCATGAGGACTTAATAGGGTGTGTAACTGCTGAACCACACTGTTACATACTTGAAACCAATAAAATATCCTGTATCAACTACACTTCAATAAAAAAAAATAAAAAAAAAATAAAAAAGACAGATAATAACAAAATGTTGACAAGAATGTGGAGAAACTGGGACCTTCATACTTGGCTAGTGGACGTGTAAAATGGTGCAATTGCGTTGGAAAGTGCCTCAAAAAGCTAAACAGTAATCATTTGACCCAGTGTGGCAGTTCTTCAAGAAGCTTGACAGTTACAATTTGACCCAGCAATTCCATGCATATATACTCTCTTATCTATGAGAAATGAAAATATCTGCCCACATAAAAACCTGTACTCAAAGCAGCATTCACAATAACCAAAAGATGGGAACATCCCAAGTGTTCATCGTGGATGAATAGATGAGATATGGCACATCCATACAATGGAATAGTATTCAGCTATGAAAAAGAATGGATCCATGCTACAACTTGGATAAACCCAGAAAACATGCTAACTCAAAAACAACTAGTCAAAAGAGACCACATCCCATTTATATGAAATGTCCAAACTAGGGAAACCTACAGAGGAAGGAAATAAAGTAGTGGTTGTCTAGAGCTGGGGGATCAGAGGGGACAAGGGGAGAGTGAACACTAAAGGGCACAGGGCTTTTATGGGGGTGATAATGTTCTAGAATTGATTGTGGTGATGGTCATACAACTCTCTGTGTATACTAAAAACTCTTGAATTATATGCTTTAAATGAGCAAATTGTAAGTGAATTATATTTTAATAAAGCTGTTTAAAAAATTCTGGCCAAATGTATCTGCCATAGCAATTAATGTAAATGGGCCAAATGTCTAAACATGTTTTTTTCCGAATTGCTCCAGCATCTAGAGCAGGGATTAGCAAACATTTTCTGGAAAAAGCTTGTTTTGCAGGCTCTATGATCTCTGTTGCAAAACAATCAACTCTGCCATTGTAGTGAAAGCAGCCCCAGATGATACATAAATGAGTATGGCTGTGTTCCAATAAAAGTTTATTTATCAACACAGATGGCAGAGTGGTCTCCTTATCTACAGAATCTCCCTCAACACAACACAGCCACTCTATGAAGACAGGGTAGGTAATACCTCTGAGATGACAGATGCTAATGAGAAGCTAAATGACTTGTCCAGGTGACAGACAATCTGTAAACAGGAGACAAGGCTTCCAGCCTTGACCTCACTGGGCAGCACACTCAGCCAGATATGTGGATGGTCCAGATCACCTTCCCTTCTAACTGGATCTCCAACAGCTGGACCACCAAACAGCCAGACATGGGGCTCCTTACGGTGATATCTCAACACCCAGCCACCTTTTCCAAACCCCTCCTCTCCTCCTTACAAGCCCAGAGGCATGGCCATTCCTAAGGAGCCAAGTTCAGTCTGATTGCCAATCAAAGTCTTCTTTGAGAAGGCTCCACTTGGGTTTAATCTTTCACTACTCCAAAAAGTCATAGAATTTCCAATCACTGAAGTCTTCATAGAGCACTCAGAAGCCTGGCTCATGTACCTTTCTCCCACAGGCTTCATTCTTTCATTGTTTTCTTTCACATTTCACCTCCTACCATGTGCCAGGTACTTCTGAGCCTAAACTAGCAACTCTGCAGCACAAAGGAAAAAGATGACAAAATCAAGTGCCACCATAATGGGAAGTGGCATCCACTAAACTAACTTAACTTACTCTGCTCTTGTGAACTTAAGCAAACTTCTGACCATGTTCCCTTTGCTCACACTGTGCCTCTCTGGGATGTTGTAAAGGGAAAAAAATAATTTCTCTTGTTTATCTTTACACACTCTGTATGCCAAATGTGTGGGGGTTTTCCCACCAGTCAACTTCATGACATCAGCTAGGTGTCCTACAATTCAATTAAATTCTGACCCTAGCTGCCTGGAGATAGCATCAGATCCCACAGGGTAAGGGCTCAGTCCCACAGGACCATACTCCCCAAACCCCCCTTCATATGCCAATTGCAAGTCCGGGTTGTCACCTGGGCTTCTGACAAACCAACTATAGATGGAAGGTTCCCAGGACGCCTCCTCAGATTTAATTTACTAAAGCAGGTCACTGAACTCAGGAAAACATTTTACTGCCTACATTACCAATTTACTATAAAAGGACAGAACTCAGGAACAGCCAAATGGAAAAGATGCTTTGGGTGAGGGATGGGGAAAGGAGCAGGGCTTCCATGTGCTCTCAGTATGCCACTCTCCCAACACTTCGATGTGTTCACCAGCCAGGAAGCTATTCAAACCTCAAAGCCCGTATTCAGGGATTTTATGGAGACTTCACTGCATAGGCATGATTGATTAAATCACATTGTGGTCAGCCTCCAGCCCTCTCTCCTCCCCAGAGGTCAGGAGTAGGGCTGAAAGTTCCAACCCTCTAACGTGGTTGGTTCCTATAGCAACCAGCCCCATCTTTAGGGGTTTTCCAAAAGTCACCTCATTAACATAAACCTAGATGTGGTTAAAAGGGACTTGTTATGAATACCATACTCCTTTTACCTTTACCACTCTGGAGCTATTTTAGGACAAAAGACCAAATATAATAATAAAACATTCTCCCACAGCTCTTATCGCTTGTAAATTACAAGAATTTCAGGAGATGTGTGCTAGGAACAGGGCAATAACCAAATACATATATACATACACACACAAATATTTATGTATATATACATAATCACAGTATCACACAAATGCTCTTATTCCTTTTCACTGGCTCTCTATGGCCCACCTTCATGCCCTTCGCCTGGGCCCTGACAGGTGAAACCTCAGCTCCCTGCTGCATCCATTTGTGTAAAATTATGGAACTTAACAGAAGGACCCTCACAGGCAACCTAGTCCTTCAAATCACAGAGGTAAATTATGCCGAAAGGAAGTAGTCAAGTGCCCAAGATCACACAGTACCTCAGAGATTCAACCAGCATCAGACCCAAGATTTGCACACAAGATTTCTGCCACAATGCCAAACTGCCTGTAGAGTTCTAGTTTTTCTAAAGCAGGCAGTGTTACAGCAAGGTCCCTCACACCCTACATCACCTCTGGATGTGTTCTAGCCATCTTCCTCCTCCTCTACACCAAACTCCTACCCATCTATCAAGACTCTGCTTAACTGTCCTTTCACCCAAGACCCTTTCAAGACTCTCAAGATGACAGCAGGTGCCTCTTTGGGTTCTCAGAGCTTTTTTGTAAGTCGACCCTTGAACAATACAGGTTTGAACTGCAGAGGTCCACTTATATGCAGATATTTTTCAACTAATATATTGGAATTTTTTTGGAGATTGTGACAATTTGAAAAAACGTTTTCTTTTCTTTAGCTTGCTTTATACTCAGAACACAACATATAATAATATAACATACAAAATATGTGTTAATCCGCTGTTACAAGTAAGGCTTCTGGTCAACAGTAGGCTATTAGCAGTTAAGCTTTGGGGGAGTCAAAGTTATACTCAGATTAACCACGAAAAGGGGTGAGTGCCCCTAATCCCCATGCTGTTCAAGGGGCAGCTGTACTTCCCTAGCACAGGATATTATAAGCTACTGTTCAACCAGGGTAGTATAACCTTCTGCACTAGACACTGAACATCATCTACATGGGGACCATGACTGTCTTGAAGACCATGCCGCCTCCTGCCCTCAGCACAGAGAAACTAACTGAATGAAAGGAATGTGTTCTACTTTCACTCATTTAAGGGGATCACTCCCACTCTTACCCTAAAACCTCTCCTCAGAAGCAATGAAAGGGTCATTGCCTTCTTTTAGGCCTCATCAGTCAGAAGTGGAGGAAGGAGGTACAGCTGTCAACTCCTTAGCAGACAGGACAGGGATTGTGGCAGGGCAGTAGGAGGGAGGGCCAGAACCGTGCAAAGTGGCAGGGCTGGAAGACTGAATGCTGGAGGTCCAGGCCCCTTCTAGGCCCTGGAGCACAGGAAAAAGGCCGAACTTTGCCCTCCACAAATCTCTGATCTTGTCCTTGGCGCAATCGTGACCCTGAACCCCGTTTTCCCTGTCTGAAAACAAGGATACATCTGCTTTCTTTATTGGAGAGGAAAGCTATCATCCTCGTGAAAAGCCGCACGTGATACTGTCTCTCCTGCGGTGACGCGCTGTGTGCCCTCGGGTGGTCCCTGCCTGGGCTTCTCTTTTCCCGATCTGTAACAGAACCCGATAGACCTGCGTTACCTGAGCCTGAGCGCTGCCTCGATTACCCCGCCCTGCACAGCCCGCCTAAGCCCACCTGGCCCCCGGCCAAGAGGACACGTGCCCTGGCCTCCCTCACCTGTCGGGGGAACGTAGGCACGGGCTGGGGGCTGGGGGTTTGATCTCGGCCCCACGGAGGCGGAGAGACCACCCCGGGGCCGGTTAAGAAGGCGGCGCCCCCCGTTCAGCAGCCGGAGGCAGCTCCTCCACATCGCACTAAAGGGCCTGGGAAGACGACCGGCACAAAACCTGAGAGCAGGACACAGGGAGAAGGAATCCCCAAGCCGCAGGCTCGGGCCGTACGGAAACCTCTCACCGCCTCCCCAGCGCCCTCATCCTCCTCTGCACGCCGCCATCTTCCGAATGAACCAACAGTGCGCCGTCGCTCGCGCGCGCCACTCGCGCACACCCCCAGTCAATCAGCTTCACAAACGCACCTCGCTCCGCCCATTCCACGCAGCGCCTCGGGAAGACTACAAGTCCCAGAGGGCCTCTCGCGCACCCCGCCACGTGCTTCCTCCGCCCGCCAATGGGTAGAAGCGCCGCGTGCGCCTACTCCCGCCCCCCGGACAACCTCGAGCCAATCGGAAGGGGTGGTGTGTGTGCGAGGGCAAGTGGGAAGGGGGGCTCAGCTCAGGACCGGGAGGCCCTGCTCGCAGGTCCCGGGGTCCCGGTGGCGGACGGAGCGCTTGGTCCGCAGGCAGCGGGTGGGTGTCTCCCCTCCCGCCCCAACCCCGCGCGTGCGCGCCCCGGCCTCTGCCTCCCTGCCACTGTCCTCGGCTCCCGCGCGGCAGCGGCGGTTCCTCTCCCCTCCCCCAGCCCTGGCTCCGGGGGACCCCGCAATGCCGGTCCGCACAGAGTGTACCCCGCCGGCCGGTGCCTCGGCTGCTTCCGCGGCCTCGCTCATCCCGCCGCCGCCCATCAACACCCAGCAGCCCGGCGTGGCCACCAGCCTGCTCTACAGCGGCTCCAAGTTCCGCGGCCACCAGAAGAGCAAGGGGAACTCGTACGACGTAGAGGTGGTGCTGCAGGTGAGCGCCGGGCCGGGCCGGCGGGGGCCCGAGGGCCTCCTCGCGGCGCTCACGGGCCGTAACCGTCCCCGGCTTTTCGAGCCCGCAGCCGCCGGCCAGGCCCTCACCGTCGGGCCTCCTGCACCCCGGCGCTTCACCCTGGGACCTGCCCAGCTGGTGTTACACTCTCTGACCCCCAACCCTGACCTGCCCCCTCACACGCCTGTCGTGAGCAGCTCTTGGCAGACCCTGAACACTCTCCCAGACTCGAAGCCCGAGACCCACCCGCCTAGTATCCGGAAGCCCCCCATGAGTGGCCATCCTCAGACCTGGGACCTACCCATGACCTCTCGCCCTGAGATCAGCCTTGCCTGCAGTGTCTCTCAGATCCTGAAATACTCTCCATTGGTTTCTCCTGACTCTGGACCCTCCGCATGGTTGGGCCTAAGTCACATTCTCCAAGACTTGAGACATGCCTCTACCCCACAACCCTCTTCCCGAAACCCCAGGAATCCTCAGATCCTGAGGCCCGCCTCCTTCTCCTAGGATTTCCTCTTTGGGAGAGCTTAATCAGCCTCAGACCTGGGGGCACCCTCCTTCCATTAGTCTCTTAGCTGGAGAGCCCCCAATCTATGATTAATTCATGACTCCTGGCGCCCCCTCAAGACCAGGTACTCTCACCCTGGGTGCTGCTGGGTGGAGTGCCTCACTGTCCCTTAGAGGTCCCCAGACCTCTTACTGCCCCATCTCTTTCTGGCTCAGGCCCCAGCTGCCCCCACCCTGAGGATTCCTGCCCAGGCTTGTCCTCCCTACCCCCATTCTCTGACCACTTCCATTCTGCTCCCAGTCTCCCCGGCCTGTCAACCCAGACCTCCCCACCCCATACCTTCGTCTTATTCCTTCCTGGTTCAAGGGGACCCTCTTTCTGTGTTCTTAGCTTTTTCCTACATGCCAAAGCTTGCTCTCAGTCTCTGATACCCATGTACTAGGAAATCTGATTCATGCAGTTTTCTCACATGGTGTTTCCTTCAAGTAGCACACTTGACATTTCTCCCCAGCCAAAGGTTATGGTCAGTGATTGATACTTCTGTTTCTCTCCCTCCTCCACAAAACTATTCCTCCTCTATAGCTACCCTTGCTGCCTCAGGATGCTCCTTCCCCCTCCCTTTGCATCTTTTTCCTTGGCCTGACCCTCCACCTCCTAGGCTGTTTCCAAAACCCCTCCAGACATCTGTCCCCTTGAAATGACTCACAGAAACTCTGAAGTCCTGGTGTGCTGTCTTACAGCACCATCTGTGAAGACAGAGTGTAGGATGGTCTTTTCCTTATGCTAACCTTTTGCCCTTTACAAATTTTACATCTTAGACAGCCTATCTTCTGAGCAAGTGGGTCTCCCACCCAAAAGACAATAAAGGTACATTTTCTTCCTGCTAACTGCAGTGTTCATCAGCCTCTCTTTTTCATACTGTTTTGTGGGAATAAATGACGTTCTCTTGTTCTAATCGGGTTAACTGCATTTTCATGTTAATTGTATCTGGTCTATAAACTTAAATTTCATGAGCCATGATATTTATTGTCATTGAAAAACTATGGCAGAGTTATTTCAGTCTTCGTAATTATATGCATTATGTGGTGATCCCCCTTCTCTTTTGCTTAAAGTGTGAGAATTTAGTGTAAAGTACAGGCTTTTATTTATTTTTGCAACTAATAGCATTCTTTATGAATAAGTACAGGCTTTTATTTATTTATTTCTGAAACTAATCATAGCATTCTGGAAGTGAGATCCCTCGTGTGGGTCATGTTTGGAATGATCCTGAATTTGTTGGAGTTGATGGCTTCTGAGGTGGGGCACAAGTGGCAGGGTAGCTAGTGTAGAAGATAAGTCCGCTTTGGTTACTACAGCAACTGCCTTCGTCTGTCCTTAGTGTGTTGTTTCTGAATTTCTGTCAGGTGCCAGTTTCCTTGTGAACAGGTGGAAGTGGTGACTGAGCTGGTGCCCAACTGATAGGTCTCAGGGCAGCCCGAACAGAAACCTGGCTGGTGGCTGGAGGTCACTTGAGTAGGATGTCTGATTGTGGGGGCGGTGGTCATGAGCAGGAATGCTGCCCCACATCTGGATGGGCAAGCTGCTTGTCCATCATCGAGGCTAGTCAGTGGCATGTGAATTGCCCCATCATCTGGTTTTTCAGCCAGGACTAGTTTCTTGGAATAAACCATCCTTCTTAGAATACTTCTGCCTTTTATAACTCAGCCTTTTTTCCTGCTTGCTTGCTTTTTTTTTTTCGTAACATCATTATTGAGATGTATTCATATGAGATGAATTTCGTATACAATTCACCTATTTAAGGTGTACAATTCAGTAGTTTCTAATGTATGCACAGGTATAGGACCACACAGCAGTCTAATTTTAGAACATTTTCATTCCCCTGAAAAGACACCCCACACCCCTTAGCCTTCACACCCCCTTCAACCCTAGGCAACCACGCATTTTTTTTCCCCCCTAAGATTTGCTTATTCTGGACATTTCATGTAAGTGAAAGCATACAATCTGTGACCTTTTAAGTACCTAACTTCTTTCATGGTGCATAATGTTTTCAAGGTTCACCCATGTCATAACATATGTCAGAGCTTCATTCTTTTTATTGTTATGTAATAGTTCATTGTATGGCTAGACAACATTTTGTTTATCCATCTATCAGTGGTTATTTGGGGTGTCTCGATATTTTGACTATTATGAATAATGCTGCTGTGAACATTCATGTACAAGGTTTTGTGTCAACGTCTGTCTTAGATTCTCTTGGATATATTTATAAGAGTGGAATTGCTGGGTTGTATTGTAACTGTATTTAATACTTGAAGGACCTGCCAGACTGTTTTACAGAGTGGCTGCACCATTTTCAACCTACCAGCAGTGTGTGAGGGGTCCAGTTTCTCCACATCTTCACCAACACTTGCTATTTATCATCTATCTTTTTTTGTTGTTGTTGTTATCATTAATCTACAATTACATGAAGAACATTATGTTTACTAGGCTCTCCCCTTCACCAAGTCCCCCCCCCACACCCCATTACAGTCACTGTCCATCAGTGTAGTAAGATGCTGTAGAATCACTGCTTGTCTTCTCTGTGCTGCACAGCCCTTCCCATGCCCCGCCCCCCCCCACATTATACATGCTAATCATAAGGCCCCCTTTCTCCACCCCCTTTCTCCCTCCCTTACCACCCATCCTCCCCAGTCCCTTTCCCTTTGGTAACTGTTAGTCCATTCTTGGGTTCTGTGATTCTGCTGCTGTTTTGTTCCTTCAGTTTTTCTTTGTTCTTATACTCCACATATGAATGAAATCATTTGGTACTTGTCTTTCTCTGCCTGGCTTATTTCACTGAGCATAATACCCTCTAACTCCATCCATGTTGTTGTAAATGGTAGGATTTGTTTTCTTCTTATCGCTGAATAATATTCCATTGTATATATGTACCACATCATCTTTATCCATTCATCTACTGATAGACACTTAGGTTGCTTCCATTTCTTGGCTATTGTAAACAGTGCTGCAATAAACATAGGGGTGCATCTGTCTTTTTCAAACTGGGCTACTCATTCTTAGGGTAAATTCCTAGGAGTGGAATTCCTGGGTCAAATGGTATGTCTATTTTGAGCTTTTTGAGGAACCTCCATACTGCTTTCCACAGTGGCTGAACTAATTTACATTCCCACGAGCACTGTAGGAGGGTTCCCCTTTCTCCACATCCTCGTCAACATTTGTTGTTGTTTGTCTTTTGAATGGTGGCCATCCTTACTGGTGTGAGGTAATATCTCATTGTGGTTTTAATTTGCATTTCTCTGATGATTAACGATGTAGAGCATCTTTTCTTGTGTCTGGTGGCCATCTGAATTTCTTCTTTGGAGAACTGTTCAGCTCCTCTGCCCATTTTTTAATTGGATTATTTGCTTTTTGCTTGTTGAAGTGCATGAGCTCTTTATATATTTTGGATGTCAAGCCTTTATTGGATCTGTCATTTATGAATATATTCTCCCATACTGTAGGGTACCTTTTTGTTCTATCAGTGGTGTCTTTTGCTGTACAGAAGCTTTTCAGCTTGCTATAGTCCCACTTGTTCATTGTTGCTTTTGTTCCCTTGCCTGGGGAGATATGTTCATGAAGAGGTCACTCATGTTTATGTCCAAGAGATTTTTGCCTATGTTTTTTTCTAAAAGTTTTATGACTTCCATTCAGATCTTTGATCCATTTTGAATTTACTTTTGTGTATGGGTTAGACAGTGATCCAGTTTCATTCTCTTACATGTAGCTGTCCAGTTTTGCCAGCACCATCTGTTGAAGAAACTGTCATTTCCCCATTGAATGTCAATGGCTCCT